CCCTTGTCCCCAAACCCCTCCTCTGGCAATATAATATCCACCAGAAAGCGATGGGAGTGTTTGGGTACATACTGCACTGGCCTTGGGGAATCTAGCAACAGCCTTCTGATACTGCTGACTATCGGAAGTTTTCTAGTGAGGAGAGGCATTTACTAGTAAAGTCTGACCTGGCCGGGTACCTCAGTAGATTAGCGCATCATGCTGATATGCCAAGGTTTCAGGTTCAATCCCTGGTCAGGTTACGCACAAGAACTAACCACTGAATGTATGAATGAGTGGAACACCAAATTTATGTTTCTGTCTCTGTTCGTGCTCTCTTATTCTTTCTCTCTCTCTCACTCCCCCTTTCTTTTTCTCTCTCTCTAAAATCAATCAACCAATAAAAATACCCTTTTTTACCTTTTTTACCTTTTATTTCTAAAATATATTTTTATTGATTTCAGAGAGGAAGGGAGAGGGAGAGAGAGAGAGAAACATCAATGAGAGAATCATTGATTGGGCTGCCTTTTGCACACCCCTCATTGGGGATTGAGCCCACAACCCAGGCGTGTGCCCTGACCAGCAAGCGCACCACCTCCTGGTTCACAGGTGGATGTTCAACCACTGAACCACACTGGCTGGCATCCCCTGCTTCTAATGGGAGCCTCCAATCAGAGACCCCGATCTCCAGATTTTGCTTTGTCCTCTGTGTATCTTACAAAGTTCCCAACACGTAGTTAGAATACAAAGCCCAGTCTTTTCCCTTCCCCTGCCTCTGAGAGGGCAGAGTGAAGTGATCCAGGGGCCGCTGCCTTGAGAAGAAACATCCGAAAAATCCAGGGGCCAGCTTATGAAACATGTCCTGTACCGGGTTTTTATAGAACGACTTCTCGCGCTAGTGTTTGCCTCAAAGACTGTGGCTCAGATGATCTGATACGGGGGGAGGGCACTTTGGTTATTACAGTCCTTCCTTAGAAGCAGTGGATCATAAAAATCACCAGGTAGTGATGTTTTCATTTACTTATTTAAAAAAAAAAAAAATATATATATATATATATTTTTTTAAAAAAAATATATAAGTTGATTTTTATAGATAGAGAAGACAGAAAGATAGAAACACTGGGGAATTGAACTGGTGACCTCTTGGTGCCCCGGGTGGATGGATGCTCAACCACTGAGCCCACACCCGCCGGGCAGTGGTGGTGGCGATGTTTCCATGTTTAATTTTGGACTTCAGTGACGCTGATGACTTGCCTGCGAAGACTGGGGTTCAGATGCCACTCTCATCGCTTGGGCAGCTGCCCTGCCGAGAAAGAGCTCCGTGCTCTGGCCTGTCTGGCCCCGCCTTCGAGGCTGTGTTACCCTGGGCAAGTCATTCTCCCCCAGCACCGCTCCCTTCTCTAAAAGCAAAAGGGCTGGGCTTTTTGAAATCCTCCCCTTAGTAAGCGAGCGAGGCCAGCTCAGGCTGCGGCCATAGACGCCGCCCAGACCTCCAGAGACAAAGGCTTGCTCCTCGCCCCCCTCTGTGCATGCTGTGCTCACGGCCTCCTTTCCTCGGGGCTTGAGCTCGCCGAGCTGAAGTCCCCATCTGGACGCCGCAGGTCTCCGGGCGGTCAGGGGGACATGGAGATGGAAACCCGGCAGAAGGCTGGGCTCGGGAGTGGCACGTGTCACTCCCACCCCAGTTTCCTGGACCCCAAAGCTCGTCAGAGTGAATGAGGTAGGCAGGGGTGACCCTTTCAGAGGGAAGGCCCACGGAGAGCAGTAGGAAATATTCGGAACAGAACTCATCACTGCCCACCCTCCCGTCCCCGCTGTCCTGTGGTTGGTGCTCAGGGTGTTGGGTCCTTGGGAGGAAGCAGGACCAGAATCAGATCGGAAGGCTTTCCTATTTTCCTGCCTGTTCCCTGTTTGAGGCACTTCCACTGGACTGGACTTGGAAGGGATATTGCGCTCGTGGGAGGGGTGCGTTCCCTGTTATTGGGGTTCTGTGCTCTTACAGCCCATGCCTTCCAGAGCACCACATGCAGCTTCTAAGCCCTGGGAGTATTGACAGACCTGCAGGTAAGCTGTGGTGGTGTAAGTGCTTAGCTAAATCCCTCACGTACGGATTGAAAAGAGAGACCGCGGATCCCAGCAGGACACCGGCAACCGTGGAGGGCGGTGCTGGGGAGTGGGATCTGGAAGTCTTTCCGTACCACCGTCCCGTGGACGGAATGATTTCGCCTGAAGTTTAAAAATGGCCTTTCCAAAATCGCAGGGGGAGGGAGGAACACGGAAAAAGACACTTAATTTCTTGATTGTCTAGAAACAGTCCGGGTCGATGAGACTTCGAAGACTGGTTCATAGAAACCGTCTCGTTCCAGCTGTCATGTCAGCACCGATGGTCAGGAAAACTTTTCTGTCTCACCCACAGAAGCCTGCCTTTCCCCCAGAAACTGATTTCCTCTTCAGAGTCAGAAACAAACAAACAAACAAGAAACTGTGAAAGTGGAAAGGTTGCCTTTATTCAGCAGGCATCACGGTGTTCCCCGATTCTTAGAAGGAGGGCAGAGTCCTAGCCTTAAGCCCCACATTGGACCTCAGCAGTCAGATGACTTCCAGGCCTGCGAACATGAACAAGTTTTCCTTGCGAACTTGAGTTGTAAAGAGGGTCCCTCTGGAAAGTTGGCAAACCCTGACTTTCCTGGCACGGGGATCCGGTTTTTTCTTTCCCCCTCCACCCAGAGCTGTGACAGGGTGGAGTGTACTTCCGTGAAATTGCATGTTTCCAAAATAGGATCCGCTCTGAACGTTTTACTGCTGTGAGAATGGAATTGCTGATCAAAAAACGAGCAAAAGCCAAGCACGCTAGAAATAGAATCTCAGCTCATGGTCTCTACATTCGTCTTCATCTAGGATGGAATTAATATACTTTATCAGAGTGCCTTTTGAGCAGAAATGTGGCCAGTGGCTGCCATGGTGGCCCGAATTTCGTCCTCACTTCTGCACTCGCAAGTAGGGATATTCCCAAGCTCGTGGGGTAATCGCACTGTCATGAATGCTGCTCGGCTTCACTCGTAGTCTGTAGTCTAGGCCAGGGGTCCCCAAACGGTGGTCCGTGAGGTCTGAAAGACTGGCGACCGTTGGTCAAGGCAGCTTCCAGGAAAGGGTGCTAGATTCTGGAGCTCCCTCCAACCTGCAGGGCCAGGAGCAGTCCTGGTGTACCCTGCTGGTGAGAAGGCGGTATTCGCTGCTGCTGGGATGGGATGGTTGTGTTATGGAACTTGCTTGTGCATCACAGAAGCGATAGTTGAAGAAGGAATTTGGGATCAGCAGGGTGAGAACACTAGATGTACTGTTTTGCTGGATCCTATGGATTCATTAGTTGATGGTCTATTCCCAGCGGCATCAGCCGATCATTTTCTTCTCCGAGGTGAAGCGTAAAAAGGCAGTAAAGCTGGGATAGGACCTTGTAAAGTGTTGTACTTGTTGGTTCTTAAAAATGGCACCCTTCATAGTGCTCTAGAGGGAGAAAGGCGAGGGCCTTGGTCACGTGGTGATGAGCGGCCCTGCCTCGGACCTCTCCAGGAGGGGCCCTGGCTTCTCGTCCACGTGGACACACAGGAAGTGGCTGATTTGAGCATCGTTTTCCCCCACCAGAGACTGGCATGGTTATCTTTATCCTGTCCTGTAGCCCCAGAAGGAAAGAAGCAATAGCGATCACACTGCAGTGGGCGGGCAGCCTGGTATTCCCTCCAATAGGCCTTCAGGCACGTGTAAGGATACCCCTGTCCAGCGGGGCAACAGCAATGAGCTCTCGATGCTGACTGCTGCTCTCCAGAGGCATTGGGCTTTGGGTCACTCCAGACTTACCTTGACCGACACGCCAACGTTAGCAAAAAGAGAGAGGATGGTTCCCAGGAGCAAAAAGGTGGTTAGCATGCCCTAGCTGGTTTGGCTCAGTGGATAGAGCATAGGCCTGCAGACTGAAGGGGTCTCAGGTTCGATTCCAGTCAAGGGCACATACCCAGGTTGCAGGCTCAGTCCCCAGTGGGGGGCATGCAGGAGGCAGTCAATCCATGATTCTCTCTCATCATTGATGTTTCTGTCTCTCTCTTCCCTCTTCACTTCCTCTCTGAAATCAATAAATAAAAGAAATATTTTTTTAAAAGGTTGTTAGCGTTTGTCAGGAAGCAATGCTAGAGGAGACTGACTGTTGTGGATGTGACTGTGTCTTGAGAGTATGGCCAAAGGAAGTGGGGTCCTGGGAGAAAAAAGGTTTAGGGTGAGGCGATTTCTAAGTGTCGGGGTAATTCTGAGAGTGCAGTTTTACTGGTGAGGAAACCATGCACAGTGTTCGCTGCTGAGAACAGTGGTCTGGCCTGAGGTCTGAGGTTGCGCACGGACACATTCTGTCCGTCTGCAGCTGGCTGGTTTGGGGATGTCCTTGGGGTGGGAGGGCTCCGTGTTGCATTCGATTCGATTTTTATGAGCCACAGACACGCCGGACGAGCCTGGCTCCCAAGCCTTTTACCCCGTCCTCTCGCAGGATTCCAAATATTCGGCCCGCTTGTGATCCACCCTTCCCAAACTTCCGAGTTCAGACAAACCGTGCATTCCCAGAACCTTTGCAGGAAGCACGCTGCTGAACATGCCCTGGCAGCTGTGTTGCCGTGGGCGCCCAGGTGTGGGGGCGCAGATTCCACTCCGGGTCTCTGTGACGGGGCGCTGACCCTGATGGCCTAGGAGGGGACGGGTTGATGATGAGAAGGCTCCCCGCCTCTGAATGAACCGGGTGCGGTACCCGCCACATCAAACAAAGATACACAGGCCGGGGTCACTTCCCATCTTTCAGAGCGCTGACCTCTATGAGCATCACCTGCGTAGCCTGCTGTGGACACAGGGTTTTATATCTAGAGACACCCACTTAACGGGAATATATCCCAAGTGTGTGTGTGTGTGTGTGTGTGTGTGTGTGTGTGTGTGTGTGTGGTGTGTGTTATTTTAAGGCTGTTTGTTCCTCTGTTCCCACGCACCAGGTATCAGTATTACCTGCAAGTCAAAAAGGACGTGCTGGAGGGGCGGCTGCGGTGCACGCTGGAGCAGGTGATTCGGCTGGCCGGCTTAGCCGTGCAAGGTAAGAGACGGGGCTGACCCCCCGCCATGTGACATCCCACCCTCTGTCTGATGATGATGTCGCTGGCCTCTGGGAGGGAAAAGGGACATTGGCTTCCAGATCCCTTAGGGATGATCCCTTTTTCATTCAAGATGCAGAAGAAGCCATTTTTTGTGGCGGGATGGTGCTGGCTCTCTCAGGGCTGTTTGCAAATGGCTCCCGCTTGTATAATCTCAGGTGTTTTTTTGTTTGTTTGTTTGTTTTTTAATGAAAGAATAGCAGCTCTCCTCCTGCCTTTAATTAAAGCTGCATTTCAGGGTTTGTGGGACCTTTTCTCAGAACCATGCCACTGCCCAGTGCGGTCATGTGTTGTGGCTCAGGGCGATGGCTGTGCGACCTTCACATCCGTTTCCAGTGTGAGAGCTTTAAACAGCATGGTATATGGTATAACATCTTCCTTTGCAGTTAAAGAGAGAGATTGGAAATGCTTAGTTGTGACGTGAAACTGCAAGCGTGGATCAGACTTCGTTTATCTTTCGACCTACCCCATTAGATTTATCAGAGAGCTATTTTTTACTATCTCTGAGTTGTTACATGTATGTTTACATATACTTATATAACAGATGTTACATAATTTTTTTTACATGTATTTCTACTCATTGTTGAGTAATAGCTTATCTTGAGTCATATTAAAAACAAGATAAGGCCCTAGCCAATTTGGCTCAGTGGATAGAGCATCAGCCTGCAGACTGAAAGGTCCCAGGTTCGATTCCGGTCAAAGGCATGCACTTCGGTTGCAGACTCCTCCTGGCCTGGGCCCTGGTTGGGGTATGTGCAGGAGGCAACCAATTGATGTGTTTCTCTCACATCAATCGATATTTCTGTCTCTCCCTCTGTCTTCCACTCTCTCTAAAAAATCAATGGAAAAATGTCCTCAGGTGAGGATTAAAAATACCCTCAGGTATTTTTTGAGAGAAACATGTTTTCCTTTCAGTCATTTGGTTTAAATTCAGTGACCGTCCCAATGTCAGCCTGCCCATCCTTGCTGTGCGGGCTGTTATTTTAGAAGCTGTGAACTGGCCTTCCCATCTCAAACGCTGAGCTGCAGGTGAATCGTTTGGGTTCCGAAGTGTCCGCAGAGGCAGCCTTCCCTTCACCCCTGTCCTTCGGGGTGGTAGCGGGTTAGTGGTGCCTGTTGGCTGCACAGTTGTTACCCTGTGGATGGAAGGACAGAGAACATCCTGTGTCCCATCTGTCCACTCAAAGACCGGAAAAGGAAGGAACAGTGGCCAGAACAGTGTACCAGAACAATCGGTGGTTATAACAGAAAATCATGAAATAATGGAAAAAGACACCCTTCACATGGAGAAGAGAGAGCAGGCCCTGTATGTGCCTTGTCTTCACATTCCTTTTAAAAAGCCTTCCTTTCTGTTCATTTTCTCTCCTCTTACTCCGTTATGTTGTTGTTAATCCTCACCTGAGCATATTTTTCCACTGTTTTTTTTGTTTGTTTTTGTTTTTGTTTTTTAGAGAGAGAGAGAGAGAGAGAGTGGAAGGAATGGGGAGAGACGAAAGAGAGAGAAACTTTGATGTGAGAGAGACACATTGATTGGTTGCCTCCCACACAGGCCCCCACCAGGCCTGGGGATCAAGCCTGCAACCCAGGTATGTTCCCTTGACTGGAACCAAACCCAGGACCCTTCACTTCATGGGCCGATGCTCTGTCCATGGAGCCAAACCAGCTAGGGCCCCTCCGCTCACTCTTCAGTCACTGTGCTCAGTGCGGGCTGCCTGGGTTTGTGAAGACCCTGGTGATAGCTCTTGGGCTGAAGGAAGTCGGTGGACCTTCTCTTTGGCTCCTCTTCGTTCTGATGAAAGCTGCTCTGGCTGTGATGTTTGTAAGTCACTTCCCCGAGAGCCTTGCTGGGCAGTTAGAAAGACCTCGGTAAAGATATATATGTCAGCATGAGATATGATAGCTGATGGCCAAACGTGTACACAGGCAGAGCACGAGGTCTTGCTTTGCCTGGAGTCCTCCCCTAGTTGTAATCAGTTACATGTCTGGGCAGTGCTTCTCCTCTGTGTCCTCCTTTCCCCCTTTGACGCCTTCTAGCCTGCCCCACCCAGGCCTTCTCCACACCGTTGTCTGCCCCCATGGCTTATGCACATATGCTTGCAAGTTCTTTGGTTGAGGTCTGCCCACCCACCCACCCATTCCGGGCAGTGTCTCTCGCTGGCCTTCCGTGTGGATCCTGGTGTTCTCTGTCTCTTGTTACCTTGAAGTAACCTGACTACTTCTACCTGATGTTAAATCTTTTACATGAAATTACATTTCATGCTGCTTTCATTCTTTGGAGAGTAAGTGGAATTAGGAGCAAGAGATTTATAGTTGCATTTTATTTTAACTTTAGAATAATAGGATCTTATTTTTTATTTAAAAAACCTTTATTGTTGGAAGTATTACATAGCCCCCCCTTTTCCCCTCATGGACCCCTTCTAGCTACCCCTGCCCCCTCGCCCCAGGCCTTCACCACACCATGGTCTGGGCCCATGGATTATGCACATATGCTTGCAAGTTCTTTGGTTGAGCTCTGCCCACCCACCCACCTTTTCCGGGCAGTGCCTCTCGCTAGCCTTCCGTGTGGATCCTGGCGTTCTCTGTCTCTTGTTACCTTACAGTGACCTAGCTCCTCTTCTACCTGATGCTAAATCTTTTACATGAAAGGAAATCTCATGCTGCTTTCATTTATTTTTTTTTTAAATAAGCAAGGGGTTTATAGATTTGTGATACAGGCTCACTGTGTTCCTTTTGCATGGGCTCAGACATAGCACCGTGGGATGAAAACAGAACAAAACAGGATTTTTGGCATCTTGAGCCCACGAAGACGTTCTGTAGGGGGTGTCAGATTTTGCACGGGTGCTTGCCAAGGGTGCTTTACAGCGGGAATTTCCAGCTGCAGATGGACGAGGAGCTAGAGATGGGCTTGGCTCTTCGGTTGCCTGAACGAACCCTGAGTGAGAAAGTCCCCTTGGCACGCATTCTGACGGGCCGTGTTGATGCATATTTAACTAGGAGATAAATATAGGTTTGGGTGTAAGTTTTAAAAATAGCTTAAGAATCACTTTCAGATTCTCCCATTCTTTCTAAAAAGTAGCATAGCAGTGCTCGCACGCTGGCATTCGCAGTATTGCTAGGTAAACGTAGCAACAGTATCAAGCACATGTCGGCACTGTTTTTGTTTTTCTGTAATGGTGCAGAAATAGGATGATGGGGGAAGAAAAAATGTGGTGATACGTGTACCCTGTTTCATTCAACCTTAATGTCTTATAAAAAGTGAAATGATTCCCCCTTCTCTTCTTTTCAGCTGATTTTGGAGACTATAACCAGTTTGATTCTCAAGATTTCCTCAGAGAATATGTGCTATTTCCTATGGTAAGTGTAATGCCCTTTTTTGCAATTAATTTTCTACCTTCTCTGGGTGTTGGTGTTTAATTCTTTCCTTTGGGAATCTCGTGCTGTTGATACACACACACACACACACACACACACACACACACACTTTCCGGGGAGGAGAGTCCATGAATATATGAAGCATGGACAAGGTTTATAAAATGATGAACAAGGAATGATGCCTCTTTTCACCTCCTCAAGGCACTTATCTGCCCTCTCTCCCCGCTCCCCTGGGGGATGAAGTTATACAAGAAACAGGGCCTGTGCTCAGGCAGACCACGGAGTGGTTGAGTCAATCGGGAGTTTGCCAAACCCAAAGCCAAGGCCAAGCGTATTAAAGTACATCAGGGCTTTGTGTGGGGAGACAGGGTTGTATCCTAAGGGACTGGCAGGATTGCAGAGAGGAGGGGAGCAAGGAATGACCTAGGCAGAGACAAGGAGCAGTGGCAGGTGGACAAGAGTCCGCTGGCCAGTCGGACTGTCACTCGGGTGCAGGAGGGGACCTGGAGGTGGCGGGTGAGATCCAAGCGTCCGAGGAATGAGACCCCCGCGTGGGCTCCATCGAGGGCCTGCAGAGCCCGCATTTGAGAGCTGCTGGGGTAGCCAGTGAGACGGTTTGTGGGAGCAGGTGGGAAGAGAACCTGGTGTGCTCCTGGCAAGAGAAAGGAAGTAGGTGTGAGCTGGGAAGATAAAACCAAGAAAGGAAAGCAAGAGAGAGAGGTTTTAGAAGTAAAACGGGTAGAACTCGGCTTCTCACCAGTGGTGGCCTCTGGGAGAGAGTCGGGTGTCTGGTGACAAAGGTTTTGGGAGAAGTTAGGCTGCAGTTACTGCCCATCATCAGGGCGTGAGATGGGTTTAAATCACTGGAAGGAAGACGTAGGCAGATGAGGTGAAGGCACCACGAGAGAGACAGGGCAGAAGAGGTGGCCCGGAGGAGGAGAAGCTGATGGAGGAGGAGAAGCTGACGTCCAGCCCAGGGAATGTGGAAACCAGGGGAGTGACGGCTAAGAGGGGTCCCTAAGGCCGGGGTGACATTCCCAGGATGTGCTGTGATGGGATGTGATGGGCCAGGCCGGTTCTGTGAAAGGGGGTTTGCCTGAGCCCTGAGCCCTTGGGAGAGGAGGCCTCGGGGGAGGGGGTCAGGCCGGGTCCCAGGGAAGAGGCCTGAATGCCAGGCCCAGGTGCTGACCTAATTGAGCAGGCCACGGGGAGCCACGGCAGGCTGTAAACGTCCCGCTTGGTTCCACCGGAGCTTTCAAAGGGAAGGACACATTCCTCTGGCGGGGGAGGGCCGATGGGATGAATGGCCGTGTTTGATCTGGGAGAGCAACCGGCATTTGTCAAACGGCATTTCTGCGGCGGAGAAAAGAACAAAGTTAAGTACACAAGGGCGCTCCACAGGTGTGCGGCTGTGCACGGGCTTGCACGCCGCCGTTTGTCACCGGTGCGGGCCCACCCCTCGGGGAGGCCGGGGCCGGGCGGAGGCCGTGGAGGGAGCACAATAGCAGAGGGTACCTGTGGACGGGTCCTCCTTTCAGGGGAGGAAGCGGAGGCTCAATGGAGCCCCCTTTGATCTTCACTTAATCGTTCTTTATTTTATGCCGTTGCCTCATTGCCTTTTCTCGGCGTTTCAAAACTGGGATGGGGTTGCTACTGCCGCTCAATGCCCAGAGGCATGCCCAGAGCCGGGTCTGAGCCACGTGGTGTCTTTGCGACTCCACAGCCTCAAACTAAAAACGGGGAGCCTTGTTTTCCGACCGTAGCCTGGAGTCCGTTCAATGGATGGCAAAACAGGAAACAGTAAAGTTCACCAGCAAAAGCATGAAAAATAAGAACCGCTAGGCATCCTCTTCATCCTCTCGGAGGTTCCTCACGAGCGTCTGCAGAGCTAAAAGAATTTCCAGGAGATGGTCGTACTGCCATTCTTCAGCTCCCAAAACGCTGAGTGGCCACACCTTCATAATTTGAGAGAGTTTTGCGGGGTACCTTTTTGGGGTTAGTGTTTCATCGATGCAGAGTTATTAAATTGGAGGTGATCTCTATATAAGAGGTATATTAGAATCAAGAAGGCCTCCTGCCTAAACATCACCCACAAACCCCCACTCCCACCCCCAGTGTTTGCAGGAGCCCCAGAGGGCCTCATCAGGACACACAGCCCAGGACCCCTTCTGACGCCCCTCTGGAGCCCAGAGGAGAGGGGTGCATGTCTGCCCTCCTCGGTGCTGGGAAGGGTGGAGGCAGCTGGCCCCGTAGCTTGAGCCTCCCCAGGCCCCACAAGCTGGAGAATCACTGTCTGTCGGTGTCTCAGGACCCGATTGCCCTGGTCTCCCTGTCTGGGACTTACTCCTCCAGACTTCATCTCTCTATCGCAGACAAGGCGTCGCTGGTAAATGTTTAACAAGCCCTGTAAACGCTCCCTCCGGCGCTGGGGGGAGCCGGGAAGAGATGTGAGTAATCGGCTCTGACCCCAGGGGAGCTGGCTCACCACCTGTCCCGGGGCCTGCGTTTCAGTAGGTCGGGACACCAGCTGGCAGGCTGCCCAGCTGGTATCTTCCGGAGTTCTCCTGCGGCATGTTAGCCGCCCAGGCCTGTTTGGCTCCCAAGGCCAGCCTCCGTGGAGGAGCTCGGGCTGAGCAGGTGGCTCTGACTTGGTTTGCTGGTGGTGGTGGTGGACGGAAAGGCCAGGCACAGTCCCTTCCTAGCTCAGCTTTTGACGGGATGATGGCCTGGACACTCACTCATCTGCCTTATCCCTGATGGTTAAAAACATGTAAATTCTTAGAAAGCATCCTGTATAATAAAATCCTAATCTGCAAATTGACTGAACAGTGGAACGCCCGGTCTCTATGACGTGCACTGACCACCAGGGGTCAGATGCTCAATGCAGGAGCTGCCCCCTCGTGGCCAGTGCGCTCCCATTGGGCTTGCTGCTCCTTAGCGCTGCCTCGGAGGTGGCAGAGGCTCCCGCCGCCACCGCCACCGCTGGGCAGCACTAAAAACCCCTCAGGGGATGTCCACTGAGAGGGCCCAAACTAAGAGAGGTCCCAGGCCAGGCTGAGAGGACCCCTCACCCCCATCCCCAGTGCATGAATGCCATGCACCGGGCCTCTAGTTTTTAATAAAAGTGAGTTTGAGAGGGAAGAAGAACATTCATGAAAAAAAGAGCTATTCCTAGACCCTACAGAGTTTACCTGGCAACCCTAAATGTGTCTTAAAATAGTCTAAATTATAATGGAGAGCCATGCTAGAAAAGTAATCAGTCCTGGAAACTAAGCTTTGAGTTGGAAGGTGCAAAGGGGAGATGGAGGAAGGGAGGCGGATGAGGACGCTGGAGGTGCTGGGAGCAGAGTGGTCAATGATGTTGGCTGCTGTCTGTTTTCCTAGGATTTGGCCCTGGAGGAGGCTGTTCTGGAGGAGCTGACACAGAAGGTGGCCCAGGAGCACAAAGGCCGCAGGTAAGGCAGGAGGGCTGCCCCTGGGCCCAGTGCCAGCCGCTGTTCTGTCCACGGCAGGAAGCTCTGAGTCCCTGCCCCACCCCTGGCTGGAATCACACAGTTTTATGTCTTCCAGCCTGAGTCAGCGCTGCTCTCAGAGGCGTGTGTAGGCTGAGCTACTTGTCCTCCCTCCCTTTCTCTCTCTTCTCCTTCTCTCTTTCCCCCTCCTCCCTCCCCTTTGTTTTCTTATCTTTTTCTCCCTTTAAAAAAAATATTTTTATTGATTTCAGAAAGTAAGGGCGAGGGAGAGAGATACAGAAACATCAATGGTGAGAGGGAATCATTGATCAGCTGCCTCCTGCACGCTCCTACAGGGGCCAGGCATGTGCTCTAACCGGGAATAGAACCAGTGAATGCCTGGTTCACAGGTTGATGCTGAACCACTGAGCCACGCTGGGCTCCTACCTCCCCCCCCTCCCCCCCCCAATTTTCTTCCATACCAGCAAGCCCGCACAGATGTGGAGCTGGTGGTCTGGAGAGTTCCTCTCTGGAGCCTTCCTAAGAGCCTGTTGCCCGGCCTGGGAAGCCTGGTGCTTGCCTGTACTCAGAGGGAGAGTCACTATCCCAAGGGCAGAGGGGGGCACTTGTACAGGAAGGAAGTCCTGAGCGCTCGGGACCAGGGCTCCTGGGAGCGCATTGGGAGCAGTGGAAAAGCACGTCCTTCCCTCCCACCTCCGAGGACCCAGGCAGGTCCTCGGGTCTCTCCTCTTGGCCGCTTGGCTCCCAAAATGCCATCCTCATAAACTATTGTGTGTTTTTTTCTTTTTAATCGTGAGTGTTTTCCCCAGGTGGGAGAAAAGCTTGTTTTGAAGCAAGCAGCATTATTCTTAGGGATGTCTGGACTAATGACTTAGGCTAGTTGTTCTCAACCTTCCTAAGGCCGCGGCCCCTTAATACAGTTCCTCATGTTGTGATGACCCCCAACCATAAACTTATTTTCGTTGCTTCTTCATGACTGTAATTTTGCTACTGTTAATGAATCGGAAGGTGAATATCTGTGTTTTCTGATGGTCTCAGGCTCTACAGCAGTGATTCTCAAACCTGTGGGTCGCAACCCATGGATTGAGAACTGCTAGCAGGGTCGCCTGAGACCATCGGAAAGCACAGATATTTACATTGCGATTCACAACAGTAGCAAAATTACGGTTATGAAATAATTTTATGGTTGGGGTCACCACAACATGAGGAACTGTATGAAAGGGTCGAGGCCTTAGGAAGGTTGAAAACCGCTGACTTAGGCTTTCTAGAGGTGGCGGCTCATCACTGAATACTTTGCCTTCCTCTTAGGATTCCCTGGTGCACACAGCCTCTTGGGGCATCTGTCAATGCATGACTGAGTGCACCTGCCCTCACGGTTGGGCCAGTGGTGTTGTTCTCCCCAGCACTGCAGCTGAGCCCCAGCTCTGGAATGGGCCACGGGGAGGGCAGGACCTTCCGCCTTCTGGGTTCGCCCTTAACCGTGTCCTCCTCCCGTGCCTTTTGCCTCCAGTGGGATCCTGCCCGCCGAAGCTGAACTTCTGTACATCAACGAAGTGGAGCGCTTGGATGGATTCGGGCAGGAAATCTTCCCCGTGAAGGTAGCGTCCGCTGGCCCGGCCTTGCGTCCGTCAGCCTTCTGAGAAGGCCACAGACATATGGGATCGGGTGTTGATAGTAGCAGGCAGACGGCCTGGTTTTCTCTCTGCCACGTGGCAGTAGTTGGCAAGTCCGGTTTACTTGACTAAAGCAAAGATTTTTATTTTTATTTTTGTAACTGAGAGGTTTTGATTGGATGGGTTTCAGGAGAAGAATATCTCATGTATATGGTATGAGTGAGTACTAAACACTAGCCCATCCTGCACAGCGAAGGGCGCAAGGCCCAGATCAGTCTCGCCCCGGGACAGGGAGCAATGGTGGCATGGGCCTTAATAAAGACCCGCCCCCTCGGTCTCTTCCCGATCCGTATGCGCTCTCCTCCTCTTAAAGCTGACACCCGTGGTTTCTGGTGTCCTTAATGCACCCATGCTCTCTCTCTCCTGTCCGAGGGAGCCCCCATTGTGGGGGTCCAGTCCCCCTGGTGTTCTCTGGAAACGATGCACAGGAAACTTACAGCATGTCACCTCCTTTGCAAAAAAATAAAAAATTAAAATCCACCTCCTGAGTGGGTGTGGTTGTCGGGGGCAGAGGGGAGGGCATGGTGCATGGGTGTTTATCCAGCCGAGCCCATGAGCCAGATGTATTTTCCTCTCTCTGCTGACCAACTTTGCAAAAGACGGAGGTTGTTTTTTTTTTTTTTTAAACCAGAAACCTAAAGCCACTGGCACATTTCAGCAGTGTGGGCGTCGCCTGCCATTTCGGCATAAACATTTCACTCCGGGCTGGCTCCGCTGGCTGTGTCCTAAGTGCTCCGTGCGTAGAACGGAGCGGGGTGGCTGCAGCTTGTGGAAAGGCTAATGGCTCTTTTTCGGATTTGTTTTAATTTTCTTTTGCTTCTCTCCTGGTCGCCCTTCGTAGGGCTGGAATCCATTTTCCTCGCCATAATGCCTTAGACGCCATCTGCCTCCCACTTAGATCTCAGCAGCCCGTAGAGAGTCATGATGTTTGGGGTCACGGATAGAGTTCTATGCTGTTCTCCACTCCTAGAAAGCTGACTTCCAGTCCGTGCAGGGCGGGGGTTTTGCCGTGGGGGTCATTTGCTTGTTTTGTTTTTCGTGCTTCTGAATTGTGGGAGGAAGGGAGGGGCAGCGGGGATAGCGTGTGAAATCCACTGTGCTTGGTCCTGATGTTCTAGTATAATATGTTCCTTAGGGGGACCCTGGGCCTTACCCTGCGCGGGCAGACAGGCATTGCTGACTCATTGCCTGTGGGCATCAACGAGCTGGGCTTCTTTTTTCTCTTTCCTAACCCTCTCCTCCCCCCCCCCACCCCCCCACGTATCTGTTCATGACTAAGGGGACCACCTACACACCCCGGGATTCCTGGCAGCCCGGTGCAGGGGTGATGGGCGGGCCAGTGGGACTGGGGAGGGGTGGGGGAGTGGGGGCGGGATGTGGTCAGCACCGAGACGGTGGAAAAGCAGACAGGACAGCATGCAGGGCCGGACTGTGGGGAGGCAGCCCCTTTGGGTTAGCCCAGGTCCTACTGACCAAGTAAAATATAAAACCCAGTGATGGCGTCCTCCGGGAGTACCTTTCCATTTAGCGAGGGCTTTTCCATGACTGGTTCCTTACAGACTCTCCGTTCCCAGCAGGTCTGCCCGCCTCTCACAGACACAGGTGTGGCGGCTGCCTCAGTGGCTCCTGCACAGTCAGAGCAACATGGCCTGGGGAGGGTGCTCGGGAGTGAGTCAGAGTCTGGAGCCTTGGTCCTTGGGGAAGTTCAAGGTCGAGCCCTGCGGTTCTGCCCAGAACGGTGTGCCCAGTGCGGGTGCCTCAGGCGTCGGTTCTGAGAGTTTCCCACCCGGTGGTCTGCTCTTCCTGTGTCCCCGGCCCCACCAGGCTCTGGCCGACCTGCTGGCGGAGTGCCCGAAGCCGCTTTCCCCAGGATTTTCCTTCTTCCTCCCACCTCCACTTCATCTGCCTTCTTCTCCCACACGTTCTCCTGCCGTACAGCTTCCCTCTTCGTGTCTCATAATGACAAGGCCCCCTTTTCCCTTCCCAGTTCTTTCTCTCCCGACTCTTTCTGCTTTGGCTGCCAGCAGGGTCTCTCGCCTTTCTCCATCCCTGTTGGAAGACTCCTATCCAGTGTTCGCGTTGGTGGGCGGGTTGAGAAGAGATCACTGGGAGGGGACTCGGGGCCAAGCAGAGTATATGCAGTGAAGCCACAGTCCACGGGCCTCTTCCTTGTTCACAAAGCTCCCAGCCAGCGTTGAGCATCCCACGCTGGACCGTGAATAGATAGTGAAGCATCACACCCTGCATGATGCCCTCATAGGAACCCCAGTGGCCAACTTGGTGAGAGCGAAGCCTGGAAGACAGAGATTCTGAAGGGTGAAGAACCCCCTGCCCCAAATACCATCCTGTCACACACACACACACACACACACACACACACACACACACGTATTACCTCTTTATAGGAATAGATTGCTTTTAAAAAGGAACATTCAGAAAATAAAATGCCTCTCAGAAATTAAAAGTGTGACATCAGACGGAAAATGTAATAGGTTAGAAGATAAAATGAAGGAACTCTCACCAAAAAGCAAAGTAATGGGACGTGGGCGGCAGAAGATCAAATGAGAGGGCCAGCGTAGGATGTCCAACATCTGAATAATAGGAGTTGTACAGGGAGTAAACAGAGGAAGCAGGAAGTACTAGTTCGAGAAAACATCCCAGAACCTATGAACGTGAGGTTCTGAAGTAAAAAGCTAAGCTTAGTGGGTCCATATAGGGTACACAGTGGGGCTTTAATTGTTATAAGTTGGTGCCTCTAAGGGAGAGGGAACTGTGGGTCCATCCAGGCCTGCTGTTGGCTTCTTTTAAACAAGCTCTAAAGAATATTCAGTATATTCAATTCTTCCAACTGTGTGCATATATAATCGCATGTATGTAATGTGCACATATAATCCAGCTACGTGCATGTAAGATTATAGTTGAAAAAACAGAAACCAAGGTACACATAGATACTCATAGGTGTTCACAAAAGAGACCATCTAAACTGCCAACAAACCCGAGAAAACCCTAAAATGATTTTAAGCAGGGAAGGCGGCGTGACAAATCGAGAAAAACAGATACCTCATACATTAGGATGTGCAGTGGGGCGCACCCCTTCAGGATCTAGTTGCCTGATTGCCATGATGCTGCTGCGACTCATTTTTATTTATGGGCGAGAAACAGGGCGTGGCCCCCACGGGCTGCTGAGGCCCAGGGCTGGGAGCCGCGGGACTGCTAGGCATGAGTCTCATCACCACTGTCTTTCCTTGGCCTCCTGCAGGACAATCATGGGAACAGTGTGCACCTGGGCATTTTCTTCATGGGGATTTTCGTGAGAAACAGAATCGGAAGACAAGCAGTGATACACAGGTAGTTTTGTTCGCCTTCTCCTCCCCTCCCTCCCTCCACCCTTTGTCCTTTGTTTCATTGAGGAACTAGGCAAAAACCCATGACATGGAAAAGTTATACAAGTGATTGAATCCCAGTGTGGATCAGAGTTGGGCTTTTCCTAACTCGTTAAGATCAGCCTTCTGTGGGATTTAAGTTGGTTATGGGGAACTTAGCTCCCTTTTCCTGGAGGCCTGCTTGGGAGCGGGGGATGGGGGCGGGGGAAGGCCTTCTTCCCAGCTGACCCAGGAAGTGCATCGATGAACCCCACTGACCTGGGAGAATGGGAACTAAACTCTATGAACCTGTTTGGAGACAAGCTCTCCCGTTGTCTCTTGCTGATTTCCTTTGCTGGAATCTCCACGACCAGTCATTCCATTCAGACCGGCTTCTTCCCCTTGTCCTGGCCACAGGTGCTAGCAGAGCGCTCACTGGTTAGTTTCTAGATTCACAAAGGAGGGTTAGTTGCGAAGGTATATTTTGAAAAAAGCAACCAATCTGTGACACACTAAGGGATGTTGGAATTTTTTGCTATTTTGTCCCTTTGACTCCTTTTCCATGTAACATGCATAGAACTAATACAGGGGTGTGTCCGAGTGTCCCCTCAGGTACATGCCAGTGAGCTTGTTTTGTACCCGTGCTTGTAGATCCCATGTGGTGTCAACAGTCTAACACAAGTACATGCTCGCTTTTATGTATAAGGGAATGCCTGTGGTCTGCTATTTTTTGGAAGAACAGCTTTCCCGTGTGTGCACCTGGCAGGCAGAGCTGCGCATTAGGGTAGAGAATCAAAGAGGGAAACACGTAGAGAATAAATATTCTGTTGAAGCCCTGGAGGTAAGCCTGGGCCAGCCACCTACTCTCTGGGTCAGCGGTTGCTGCAGGTCATTTTGAGACACTTGTCCTACCAAAGGCTCCCTAATAGGCTTTTTTGTCCCCCTCAGTCTCACACTGCCATTACTTTTGTCCTTTATTTTCTCTTGCTCTTTGATTAGAGACATCATTGAAGCATGAGTAGGGAGAGAGATCTTGGGGGCTACTGAGTAAATTTGATTTCTGGATATGCTTAGTCATCCCCATACACTGACAAGAAATTATAAATCAATTGAGTAAAATATAGAAATACTGTAGGGCAGAGTTGTGACTATAACATTTTACGCATATCTAAAGCTTTCCAGGTGTTTTTGTCCCACACAGTTCTCCATAGCATGAGAGATCAAAGACTCTATTGAACTGGAAACTTTCCAATACTTGCCGAGTGCTCACTTCAAGATAGTGGTGCTGAGTTCTCCATAGCTAAATCAGTACTTTTTATTTATTTATTTTTTCCCTTGAACCTGGAGAAGTAGACAAATCTTGCCTTATAGCAAGCGAGGTTAAATAGAAGAAAATAGCAATTTGAAAGCTGGCTGCTCCCGAGCCACACACAGGATATGTTCAGTCTCCTTGGGAACTGCTTCCAAACCTCTTCCTTTAGCTTTTATCACGACACTCCTCACAAGGGGGAAACTTATTTCTGCCATAATGCCACGAAAGTCATGCCATAGGCGAAGTCATATGGTGGAGTGAGGAGGAGATTTGGAGTTTTGGCAGAGGACTTGAAGGAATGGAGCCAGAGGAAACCAAATACTCTTCTCTCTAGAGACCTTCACTGGAAAACGTCTAGCTTTGTGTCCAGGTAGATTTGATCCGATGGGATGGTAGGTTGACAGACATCTGTGCTGGGCACTTGGAGTCACTATGGCCCCAGCAGTTGTACACAAACACAGTTGGCACTGGTGTCACGGAAAGGTGATTGGAGGAACCTCTGGAAGCTCCAGGTATAGAAGTCACCCATCCCTGGTGAGCAGAGTGAGTGTGGCGAAGTCATGCACTCATGTGCGTCTAAATTGCCTCATCTCCGAAGTATTATAGAAGCAATAATCCCTGCCTTGTCACCGTAGAGAGTTGATCAAGGAACCATACTCTGTACAGATGGACGGCAATATTATTACTTTCAATGTTTTCAGCAAACATGTAGCGCATGCTGTGTGCCAGGTACGCAGCTCCGTGCTTGGAATACAGAGATGCGGAAAGCAGAATCTACCCGGGGCATGGAGTTTATGGTCAAGTTTGGTTTCGTCAGGGAGCTAGTCACAGAAGTAAGCAGTCATGATGCAAAGTGGTAACTGGTAGAGGGCGACACCAGGCTCTTTCCCAGCATGTGGGTGGTTGGGGTGAGGAAGGGCTACCGAGAGAAGGCGACTCCTGAGCTGAGTTACACGGATCATTCAGGCAGAGGGGGGAAAGGGTGATGAGGAAAAGCCCGATGGCGAGCAGTCAGTGGGCAGGGATTCTAGGTTGGGGCACTGGGGGAAGGGTAGACAGTAGTGAGAGCTGGTTAGAAATGGTCTCCGAGTAGAATGGGAAGCAGTAGCTTGCCCTCCCTTGTCTGGTGGTTAGTTCTGTGTATCACGCTTTATATAAGGTCTCCACGTGGAAAGAGAAGGATTGTGTGCGTGTAGTTCACAGAAATGTAGGCACATTGGATACTCACCTCCCAGGCATGTTTTCTAGGTGATGTATCAGTAATGACAGTGCATGACGTGTACGTGACAGCACAGAATACACGTGGATTCTTCGCCTAGATTCCGGAACGTTGTCCTTTCCAATAATGTGCTCCTCCATCATTTAAATCCAGGACCACGGGGAATCCTTTGTCCATTTGGGACTGGGAATAACAAGGCAGCAGAAGTGGCTTACAGATGTCCCCCCCCACTAGACAATGTATCTAGATATTGTTTGCATAGGATTTTTTTTTTTTTTTTTTTTTTTTTAGCTATTTCAGTAGATTCGTATTGCACTTTCTGTCCTTTCCGCCTTGAGAGAAGGAACAGTTTGCTATTGGAAATCTAGCTCCGTCATCCTTTACAAAACCAGCCAGTGGCCCGCCCGTGAGGACTCGTAAATGCACGGGCTGCCCAGGGGCCAACGCGGCTGCCTTTGCTCTGCAGGTGGAACGACATGGGGAACATCACGCACAACAAGTCGGCCATCCTGGTGGAGCTCGTCAACAAGGAGGAGACGGTGCTGTTCCACACGGTGAGCACGATGCACGAAGGCGGGGTCCGCCGGCCACTTGGCCCCGTGCCGTCTCAACTCACAGTGTCCCTCCTTGCTCTCCGTACCTTGAGGGAATAAATAAATGTTCTGCTGAACCGAGACTTCCTGCCCTGGCCCAGTGCTGTCATTGCTCACTCCAGGGTAATGGTGATGATTTCACATCCAAAACGCCCGCTTTCCAAGCTGGGGTTTAACTCGGGTTGGGGTTCCGCCCCCTCGCCTCCTGTGTGATGGATCGCATTGTCTGTCTGGCGGGCCACGTTCCTCAGCACTCTGGTGACAGCCCTCATCAAGCGACCTCTGGTTCTATTGCCTGGCGTTTTCTTTTGCTGGCTGACCTGGGGTTTTTTCCCCCCAGCATCACCCAAGTCTTGTCCGAAGTCAGCTGAGCGAGGGCCCTTCCGCTGAGGGCCTCCTCCAGAGCCAGGGCTGTTCGTGTAGCCTCCCACCTCTCATTTAGTGATGTTTGGTGCTCATTCCACGCTCTGCCTTCATTCATTCGTTTTTATTTTTATTTATTTTTTTAAAATATATTTTCATTAATTTCAGAGAGGAAGGGAGAGGGAGCAAGAGATAAAAACATCAGTGATGAGAAGGAATCATTGACTGGCTGCCTCTTGCACGGGAACTGAGCCTACAACCCAGGCATATACCCTTGACCGGAATTGAATCTGGGGCCTTTCAGTCCATAGGCAGATGCTCTATCCACTGAGCCAAACCAGCTAGGGCCATTCATTCATTTTTTTTTTTAAAGCACTTAGTTTTGTATGATGTGAAGACATGGCAGTTCATCACCGCGACCCCAAGGCCGTGGCATAAAGGGTTCTTTAACAGACAGTCTTGTCTTGCTGTCCTTTGACGAGCTTCGTGCCTGTGGCTGCCACTCCATCTCAGCACGTTGGTGTGTGGCTCGGGGTGTTACTTTGTGATTGACAGGAAGGGAGGAAGGGATGTGTCCCTGCTTTGGGAATGCTTGTCAAAGGCTCATATAATCAAAGGGACATTTATTTATTTTTCTCTGTCTTTCCCAAGGACGATATTGAAAACGCCAAGTACATCTCCCGGCTGTTTGCCACACGGCACAAGTTTTACAAGCAAAACAAGATCTGCACCGAGTAAGTAAACGTCCCGTCTGCCCTCCGGACGGATGGCCTGGCCCGGCTAAATGCCTATGTGCTTTGGGGGAGGTTGCAGGTGGTTTTTCCCGTTCCCTCTCTTCCCCTCGTTCCTCGTAGAAGCCAAAGGCGGGCCCGAGAGCGCTCTAATGATGAGGACTGTGCGGGGTAGTTAGTGCCGGTGCCTGGGGAGCAAATCGTTCACAAATTGACTGTGAGTGCCGGACTGCCTGGCCGGCCCGGCGCACGGCGGCCATTAGTGCCTTCCCGACCTCTGCGATGGGTTTGGAGGAGCCGAGCTGGTCCCAATTTGCCGGGGCGCCCCTCCGTGTCGGGCGTGGGGGAGGTTCAGAAGCGTGGGGCCCGGGGACAGGCCCGCTTGAAAGAGAAGACGCGCCTGTCATCCTCAGCCCCGTCTCGCCCGCACAGTTGGGCAACCCCGCGTGTGCCTGCGGGTCATGCCATCTCCCCGGAAACGAGGGGCCGGGTAATTAGAGGAGGGCCTGGAGGACGCTAATGGATGTCACCCACCCGCCCGCGTGTGCATGCATTTTACATTTAATTTGGAAATAAGGATGATAAAGGGGAGAGTCTGATGAGGGAACTTGAGCGTGACCTGACCTCGGGTACCGCGTGCTGGGGCTCGCACGCTCCCGTTGCCTTTGCCTGGACTGCCTTCAAAAGGTAGAGTACGTCTGGGGTTGGGGCGCCCGACGTGTTTAATTTTGTCTCAAAGGACGTGAGGGATGTAAATGCAAGAGGAGGACTGCCTTCCCACGGCCCCGGCGGCCACATCCCCGAGGGGGCGCGTGTGGTCCTGACGCAGCGGCTGCTGATGAGCGTGTTTTTTTTTTTTTAGAAGCGCATCGCCGGGGCCTGCAGACTCTTCTCTGCACTCTTTTCTCTGCAGTCACTGCCATTGGCCGCTGTCAGGGTAGTGGGTAGTATCAGGTCTGCCAGCCAAAGATGGCAAATGTACGTCAGAAGAGCATTGACCAAGGAGCGGCAACGTCAGCAGCCAGAGATACCACCTCCCAAGCCACATGCGCACACACTCGCTCTCCTCTGGGGCTGGGAATCCCCCCTCGCTCTTTCTTGGCGGGTCTTTGCTGTTGCCGTTCATTCGTGGGGGGTGTCCTTGGCATTAACAAGAGTCCTGTGGTCAGCTTCTGCGGGGTGAATGAAAAATCAGGTGGAGAAGTGAATTCTCTTCTGTAATAAAATTCTGGTCTGACCATTTTCTCAGCAGGCGGATTCACTATAAAACGTACTGATTGTATTTCTTTTGTGGTCTTCTCTTAGGAATAGGCAAACATCGCATATCAGACTGAAAGCGAAAGAAATTATACTTTCCTTCCCTACTTTTGTTAATGACTATTCCTTTCTCCTTCCTAACCAGTTATGGGAGGTTCTTCACTTCATAGCTGAAAAAAATTGGGAATCTCTTAAAAGTTATTGCCCAGGCCACCTACACAGTATATTTTGAATACATTTGTTGCTGAGTCTCACCCCGGGACATCCCTCTCCACTCTCTGACTTCTAAAAGGCTGCCATTGGTATTTTTTCCTCTCTCACAGTTACTGCTTGTCACCTCTGATACAGCCTACAGAGTGGTTCCCATGTTTCTTGACTTTGGGGAAGAAAAAATGTAGAGGGGAGAGAGAGAAGGTTCTAATAATAATGTATTTGGCCAGTTAAATAAAGCCCAATATTACTCTATTGTTTCCATCATTTCATTAAAAAACTCCATCACCAAAATGGTAGGAAAAATGAAATTTCAGAATAAGGACAGTGCTTAAAATTGAAGAATTTTAGCTTGATGGCCAACTCTACATGTCCTATTTTTTTTTTTTTTTTTTTTTGTGTGTGTGTGTGTGTGTGTTTGCTTTTAATGAATTGCACTTTTCATTGAGGACATGGAAACTGTAATTCTGGAATTTGTTTCTCAAAGACATCTTTTCCATTTCTTAAGAGTTTGATGATATTCTTAGTCCGTGCTCATTTTTAGTCTACATTAAAAAAAAAAAAATCATGTTGAGTCTCAGACTGGAAAGGATCCCTGACTAGAGGAATATTTGCAATATGTATAACCTTAATGAAAAATACCTTCACACCTCAAAAATATTTTGGATTTTTATTTTTTTTTTACTTTACTGACAGTATTTAAAAATATTTTTATTCTTTTTTATTATGAAAGACTTTACACATATACAAAGGGACAAAAAATACAATGGCTGCTTTTTGTATTTCCCTTATCATGTTTCTTTAGAAATAAGCCTTATTCTTCTAGCAGTGCTTTGTAAAACTGTTTGTAAAAGTACATTATGTCCCAAACATTTTGAAAATACAGAAACGAATAAAAAAGGGAATCGTAATTGTTTTTAGTGTTACCGCCCAGAGATAATATTGATGTTTTGCCGTGAATCTTACCATCTTTCCCCTTTTCTCCCTCTCTTGTCTGTCTTATATCTGGGAAATAATAACCCTTCTGCCTTTGCACTTTTTTATGTAGACAATCAAATTCCCCACCCCCCATCAGACGCCAGCCCACCTGGAGCCGATCCTCTCTGGTATGTATAAAATATTCAGCAATCGAAAGTAGTCAGTGTGCTGGGGATAGAAGGTCCTTTTGTTGCTGATTTGAGAGGCGAGGTGATGAGGGCATTATGACCAGGTGAGGACAGGCGAGAATGCAGAAGGGTGTAAGTCTTCCGAGTAGGTGTGACGCGTATTCGTTTTGCCTCATTGAGCCCAGGATGTCCATCCTTTCTCTCAGTGAGGCTGAAGGTTCAGCCCCCTGAGGAAGTCTTATTCAGGGGGATGAGACCGTGTTCCTTCAGCATGTAACCTACTGTTTCAACCCGCTTGTTCTCATCTGTAGTTTTATCACTGTTTCTGCTTGTTACATGTAGCATGCCTTCAGATATCAGCTCCACAAGTTCTTCTGTATTCATTGCCTTAGATAGAGCTTAATAAACTCATCAGAAAATGCTTTCCGGGTTTTTTGGTTTTTTTTTTTACTAATTTTTTTTTTTTTAAGAGAGAGAGGAAAGAAGAAAGAGACAGAGATGGAGAGAGAGAAACATTGATGTGAAAGAGAAGCATCGATTGATTGCTTCCCACACACACCCTGACTGGGAATTGAACCAGAAACCTGGTTATGTGCCCTGACTGGGAATCGAACTCACCACCTTTTGGTGCATGGGACGATATTCTAAGCAACTAAGCCACACTGGCGAGGGCAGAAAATGCTTTTTAAATGATCAGAAATAGAATAGTTCTAGTTGATATTCTCAGGCAAAGTTCTCGATAGGGAAGATTGTACACTTCCTGATTTTAAGAGCAACGAACTTATTTTTAATTGTTCTTTTCATGTGAATAAGGAAACACAACTCTAATTTCATTACATGTGTTTTGTCCTAGGGTGTGTTTTATTCTGAGGATTATTTAAGGCTAATATAACAAAAAATGTGTTGAAGAATTGATTTCCTTTAAGGTTTTCTATTTGTTTTGAAGTCATAATTCTTTATGAAGGTTATGATTTTTTATATGTTGTTAAAATAAACATGTGCCCTTTAAATATTTCTAGGTTCCTTTGAATCGGTAGAAAAATAAAATAGAATTTTTCTTTATCATGTATATAGGGTATACAAGAATTGTATAGCTTTTAATTAATTATTATTATTTTTATTTTGGAAAATACATACACCTAAACTCCTAGAATTCTAGAGTTGGGACATTATGTCATCAGAATAAAAATTCTGAGTATCCAAGTGACTGTTACTGATCTTAACATGATGCCCAGTATCTCACAAGTGGGCCCGTGAGTTGGAGATCAAGGAGGATCCCTTTGAACCCTTCCCCTGAAGTACCAGTAAATTTGTTTGTGTTTTCCTTGGTTCCTATCATTTTTCTTTTTCCTTCTTTAGATTCCTGTGTCTTTACTAGTGAGATCGTTTTTTCCTTTATGTCCCTGCGGCACCACGGGAGGCAGAGTTCTCAGGCTTCCTGTGGTCTGATCTCATTCTCAGTCTCTGGAGAAGATGCCGAGGCTGTTTCCTCGGCCCCTTAGGAGAAAACCATCTCACCGACTTCCTTGGGCTGCGTAGGAGGAAGCCAGATAACCCTGTCTCCTCTGGCTTCCTCGCTGATAACTGGAGCCTGATTGCTCTCCTCTTGCCCGTCTGCTGCCTGCGTCACGGCAGCTGTTTGCTTTTTGTATGAGCTGGTCTGGAAAGGAATAGGATAATGTATTAGAATGTGTAAGAGATGGAACAAATAAGGTAATCCTGAAATGGTGTCAGGAAGATTACTTATTATTGTCCTTTGCCTGTATACTCATGCCAGATCATAAACAGTGCCATACTTACTGAATTTTTTTTTTTTTTTAAATAAGAGCAAGACAAAGGCAGTGAGCCAATATTGCCTGCCGTTTATTTCTATTCCCTGGTATGAATCCCTCCCCAGGGTGGTGTTTTTTTTTTTAAGTCTCAAACTTGGTTGTCCTACCCTGGAAAAATCGAGTTGAATTATGTATAACTAAGAAGAGGCAACAACAACAAAAAATTATTTAAAAACATTTTTAAATTGCAACTCAAAACCCAGTCAAAGAGAGATCTGGAAATAACACCTTTGGAGAGCTGATATAACACCTTTTCTTTGGTACCCTGAACTTTACTACATTGATTTATGTTCTATTTTTCTTCTCCCTGATTCTTCTTAATTTTTGGATCCTTGTCTTTGTTACCTCCTTTATTTGCCCATTGGATGCTGAAGCATTATTTGTAGCGGAGGAAATGATAAGTTATTTACTCAGCTTCAGATTTTGGGAAGTGCTCATCTTCTCTTGAGAGAAAGTGTGGCTCCTACTGGCTCTGGCTTTTTGGGGGCCTGATCTGAGCTTTTCTCCTAAGTTGTCACATTTCAATGAATATCTAATAAGGCTAATTGAAAAAGAATCAAATTGAAATATAAGAGACCATCCTTTTTGGTGATTTACAACTTTAAAGTTGAAAATTTTCAGCATCAGAACTCTTTCTTCAAACAAACTCTTATCCGGAATCCCGATATAAAAATGAAACGGGTCATGTTTGAGGTATTTTAGTCCCATGCAAACATTTGTTCTATTAAAAAAAAAAAGAGAGAGAGAGAGAGAGACATTGGGAGCTTGGCAAGCCTATTAGAAAATAGATTACAAATAGATATGTTCATGTTGGTTGTAGCCTCTTTGTCTTTCTCACATTGAACCAGCCATCTGTGTCTTCAGTGCTGACTTAGCCATGAGGAGGGGGTATGGATGAGAAGAGGGGTGGGTCGAGGGTAGAGGGCAGAGCAGCCCCGGCCTGCTTCCCTGCAGACGCCGGAGATGGCGTGTGCTCGGCTGGTTCTCCCTCTGTGGCAGCGGAGGGCCCTCAGTGACAGGCCTGCCCACCGGTGCCGTCTGTTCTCGTTTCAGCCCCGGCAGCAGCCGTACATCTTGCCTCCTATGCACGTTCAGTGTGGAGAGCACTACTCGGAAACACACACTTCGCAAGGTAACTCGGGCTTGCCATGTTCCCTTCCTCGGGTGAAGGGTTAAGAAGAGTAAAGAAGACTTTTCTTTTTTAGGTGATAGGGATGCTTTCCTTGCTAATCTTGTCGTTGTCAGGATGGCTGCAAGCGGCAGCTTCGATTTGTGAAAAGCACAGACTATCGTTTACCCCGGAGAGAGGAATTGCCCCAGAATGGGCTGCAAGAGGGAGTTGGGGAAGGCGGAGAGCAGGGTTCTCTTCTCCTCCCTCTCCTGAGTGGGCGTGGAGAAGAGGGAGTGGCAGCGAGGCTCACGGGGGTACCCTGGACCCTCGCTGCCCGTATCACAAAGTCTGTCACAGTCGGTCAGGCTTTCATGCTGACAGAGAATTCAGGCATCCAGAATAACTGGAAGAAATATACAAATAATGTCAACCCTTCCCATCAGTCCCTCTCTCCCAGTGCTTATAAAGGAAATCTGTTGTAGTCCTCTCTTGTAACTCACATGCAAAGTAATTATTGCAATAATAATAACATTAATAGAGGAAGTCCCCTCCTTTGGCACTCTTCTCAGCACCTTCAGTAATCCTCATAATACACGTAGGAGTTGAGATAGGGATTACTATTATTTCCAATTTACAAATATAGGATTGGGATGCAGGAAGTATGGGAGGGGCTTGGATATGAAAATCAGTGTTTTGACCCTCAAGCCGGTGCTCTTGATTATGACACCAACTGCTTCTCAAAGAAGGAATGGTATTAGGTGTTGAATATTGACAATGTGAAACGGAAAGAAACATCAATGATGAAAGAGGATCATTGATTGGCTGCCTTCTGCATGCTCCCTACTGGGGATCGAGCTGGCAGCCCAGGGCATGTGCCCTTGGCCGGAATCGAACCTGGGACCCTTTAGTCTACAGGCTGACGCTCTATCCACTGAGCCAAACCAGCCAGGGCTCAGGATGCTTTAGAATGTCCCTTTTGTACATTGGTGTCCCATCCAGGAAATGTCCAGGTTTGATGGAATGTGGGTGGAGCTCATGGGTGTGCACTTTCCATGACTTCTTCTTTTTTTAAATATATTTTTTAGTGATTTTTTTTTTACAGAGAGGAAGAGAGAGAGATAGAAACATCGATGAGAGAGTCATCTATCAGCTGCCTCTTGGACACCCCCTACTGGGGATGTGTCCGCAACCAAGGCACATGCCCTTGACCGGAATCGAACCTGAGACCTTTCAGTCCGCAGGCCAACGCTCTATCCACTGAGCCAAACCGGTTTCGGCCATGACTTCTTTAGGTCGAGTGTCACATAACCTACGCCACGGCTTAGGTGAGGGTAGACTGACCGCGGCGGGGTGGCGTGGGGGCTCACGTGCCTTTGTTTGGCTGCCTGCAGACAGCATCTTCCACGGGAACGAAGACGCCTTTTACTGCAACTCGCACAACAGCCTGGACCTGAACTACCTAAACGGCACCATCACCAACGGCAGCGTGTGCAGCGTCCACAGCATCAACTCCCTGAACTGCTCGCAGAGCTTCCTGCAGGCGTCGCCCGTCTCCTCCAACCTCAGCATCCCCGGGAGCGACATCATGCGGGCCGACTACATCCCGAGCCACCGGCACAGCGCCATCATCGTGCCGTCCTACCGGCCCACCCCGGACTATGACACCGTCATGCGCCAGATGAAGCGGGGGGTGGTGCCCGCCGACAGCCAGAGCCAGTCGCTGAGGAACCTCAACATCCTCAACACCCACGCCTACAACCAGCCCGAGGACCTGGTGTACAGCCAGCCCGAGATGCGGGAGAGGCACCCCTACACCGTCCCGTACGGGCCGCAGGGGGGCTACGGCGGCGGCAAGCCGGTGGGCCCGTCCGACCTGACTCCGGCGGCGGCGGGCCCCAAGAACAGCGCGGGGCCCTGCAGCAAGCCGGGGGCCAGCGCCATCTCCCACACGGTGAGCACCCCGGAGCTGGCCAACATGCAGCTGCAGGGCGCGCACGGCTACCACCCGGCCCACGTGCTCCAGAACCACCTCTTCCGCCCGCCGCCCCCCTACCCGCGGCCCCGGCCCGCCACCAGCACCCCGGACCTGGCCAGCCACCGCCACCGGTACGTCAGCGGCAGCAGCCCCGACCTGGTGACCCGCAAGGTGCAGCTGTCGGTGAAGACCTTCCAGGAGGATAGCAGCCCCGTGGTGCACCAGTCCCTGCAGGAGGTGAGCGCGCCGCTCACGGCCCATGCCAAGCACCACGGCGCCACGGTGAACAAGCGCCACAGCCTGGAGGTGATGAGCAGCATGGTGCGGGGCATGGAGGCCATGACCCTCAAGTCCCTCAACATCCCCATGGCCCGCCGCAACACGCTCCGGGAGCAGGGGCCCCCCAAGGAGGCGCCGGGGGGCCACGAGGTGCCCCAGCTGCCCCAGTACCACCACAAGAAGACCTTCTCGGACGCCACGATGCTGATCCACAGCAGCGAGAGCGAGGAGGAGGAGGAGGAGGAGGAGGAGCAGCGGCGGCCGGCAGAGCCCGCGCCCGCCCGGATCCCGGGGCTCCACGGGGGGACCGTGGAGTACAGCGCCCAGCTGCAGGCGGCTCTGGCGCGGATCCCCAAGAAGCCCCCGCCCGAGTACCCCGGGCCCAGGAAGAGCGTCAGCAACGGGGCGCTGCGGCAGGACCAGGCCGGCGTGCCCCCCGCCGTGGCCAGGGCCCGGGGGCTGCGGCACGGGCCGGCCAAGGCCGTGAGCGTCTCCCGCGCCGACCAGCTGGCCGTCAACGGGGCGGCCCTGGGCCCGTCCCTCTCGGAGCCCGACCTGACCAGCGTGAAGGAGCGGGTCAAGAAGGAGCCCGTGAAGGAGCGGCCGGTGTCCGAGATGTTCTCCCTGGAGGACAGCATCATAGAGAGGGAGATGATGATCCGGGTGAGTGCCCTCCCGTCCCCTCCCGGGCCATGGCGGTGGGGGGGGGGGGGGGAAGGGGGCAGTTGGTCTCCCCCACCACAGCCTCCTCTGCTCCTTGTCCCTGAGGACGTTCACGGCAGGAGCACGGGTTGCAGACGCCGAAGAAGGTACGAGGCGCGTGCAGGGGCAGGTTAGGGATGGAGAGGGGCCTTCGGCATTGAAACAGGTGGCATTTTATTTCACAACACATCATGCTTGCCCCTTCAAAAATACACCTTCCCTTCTCCCACACGGGTGCCAATGGGCGCTCTTGGCACAAAGTGCAGCCATGGAGTTAGGGTGTCCCAGGCTGGGGGTGTGGAGGTTGGGGTCGTGGCCAGTGTTTTGCTGTTTATTCAGGATCCGACTCTTGGTGTGAGCTGCGAGGGGCTCATCTTCCTGCACCTGCTGGTGTTTTGTGTTTTCCCCTCCCCAGGGGAAAGCTTATTCCCCGCCAGTTAGATGCTAAAAGAACAATAGCTCCTGAGCATTTTCCGTGTCAGTCAGTGTACGTGTCAGGATGGCTCACCGATATTGACCAGCCTGCGTGCAGAGAGTCAGCTTGAGTTTCAGATTTTTTTTTTTAATAGACGGTTAACACAAAGCCAAGAAAAGTTACGGTAGACTTGGAAGTTTACTGTTGAGCTGCAGTTCCCCGTTAAGCTTAGTCTAGTGAGAATCCAGATACATGTATGCGTGTATACACACACACACACACACACACACACACACACATGCACAGTGGGAATCAACCTGGAAAGAACTATCAAGGGCCACTGTTGAAGGCAGCCAAGTTCCCAGGTTCAGAATCTAATCTGCAACAACTTCAGACAAACCTTGGAGCATCCTCAGCCTCTCAGGGTGGCCATCCATGGAATGGTCCAGGTGTCTGCAAATGGTTTCATTTATGTTTGGATCAAAACCTCAAACTGTAACCCTCATCTGTTTATATGCTTTATGTATTTATCTTTTTTCTTTTTTAAATGTGTTATTGATCTCAGAGAGGGAGAGGGAGAGAGAAACATCAATGATGAGAGAGAATCATTGGTTGACTGCCCTCTACAGGCCCCACACTGGGGATCGAGCCCACAACCCAGGCATGTGCCCTGACCAGGAATGGAACCGTGACCTCCCGGTTCATAGGTCAACACTCAGTCCCTGAGCCATGCCGGCTGGCTATGCGCAGCCTTTGCTATTATTTGTTTGTCGTGTGTCCGTCTAATCATCTGCTTTAAACTAAAAACTCAGGAGTCCTGGAGTGACGGGCTTCCTCGGGCACACCGTGGGAAGTAATGGGTAGGCTGTGTTTGACTTCGCCCAGCTAATGGTGGTTGTCTGCATTCCTTGGCTGGGGAGCTACAGATTTGGGGAGATTAAAAACACATTCCAGAATGCCCCCGGTATTGTAAACAATGAGAACATGCCTTTTCTTGCCACAAGAATCTAGAGAAGCAGAAGATGGCAGGCCTGGAGGCGCAGACGCGGCCTCTGATGTTGGCGGCGCTGAACGGCCTCTCGGTGGCGCGGGTGCCGGGGCGGGAAGACAGCCGAGTCGATGGCACCCGGATCCTCATGGACGAGAGGGTAAGCCCTGGGCTGGTCAGGCACGTGATTCCTTCCCGGTGCTCTTCGGATTCCTGAGCTCGCTCTCCTTGCCCGAACACGCCAGCTCCGAGGTTCAGGTGGTGAATTAATTCTTCAGGTTGAGATCAGCCTGACGTAGTCTAACGTGTTGTAGTCAGTGGGCCCCTCCCAAGTACCTGCTGTGTCTCGGTCAAGGTGGCGCAGTGATGACTGACCGAGAGGGCAGCCCCGAAAGCCCCTCACAGGCCACGTGGCCTGGGTCAAGCCACTCCTTTTCTTTGGGCCTCTCTCCCTTTTTGCAAACGTGAGAAAGTTGCAAAATGATCGCTGTAGCTCTCAGTGTCTGTGTTTTTTTTGTTTTGTTTGTTTTTTTAAGTATATTTTATTGATTTTTTTTTACAGAGAGGAAGGGAGAGGGATAGAGAGCTAGAAACGTCAATGAGAGAGAAACATTGATCATATGCCTCCTGCACACCCCCCCCCCCAGGAATGTGCCCACCACCAAGATACATGCTTTTGACTGGAATCAAACCCAGGACCCTTGAGTCCACAGGCTGATGTTCTATCCACTGAGCCAAACCAGTTTCAGCTCAGTGTCTGTGGTTTTTATGAATGATGAGCATGTGTGGAATTCTCTGTAATGCCACCCCCTCCACCCACGGTCAGAATGAGGTGCACGTTAGTGTTTCCGAGGTGGAGACAGTGCTCCCTTAGCTCCTGACATTGCAGTCAGAGGCTAAAGAAGCAGGCTTCCAGTGCTCGTAACAGCAAGGTTTCAGACTCCAGTCGGTAAATATGAAGTATTAGAATATTTTTAAAGCCAGAATGACTTTAGAGGGATGATTTAATCCCGCCGTCAGCAAACTGTGGCTCCCGAGCCACATGCGGCTCTTTGGCCCCTTAGAGTGTGGCTCTTCCACAAAATACCACGGCCTGGGCGAGTCTATGTTGAAGAAGTGGCCTTAGAAGAAGTTTATGTCTAAAAAATGTGGCTCTCAAAAGAAATGTCCATCGTTGTACTGTTGATATCTGGCTCTGTTGACCAATGAGTGTGCCGACTACTGATTTAATCCAATGAGAACCTATTATTGTAATTGGTAGTTTGGCTGTGGGAAAAATAAAGTGGAGGAGGGGGGGTATAAATCCCCAGAACTGCTGGACTGTGGACCAGCATCCTCTTAATATTTATCTCAGTGAAATGGGCTGTGTACATGGAGAAAAGGGGGTTTGGATAACCATCTCCTCACATTAAGGCTTTGAACAGAGTGTGTCAGTAACACAGATACCAGTTTTGAACCTCACCCCTTTGCCTGGCTTCCCAAATTTGTCCTGTTGAAGCTGTGAATGGGAAGGACATTGGTGGTTGGACAGCAGAAACTCGCACTGTGGTTACTAATGAGGCCAAATCATCAAGCGTTCCTTGGGCATGTTGACACGACTTAACCAGCAGCCTCCCTGTTCCTATTTAAAGAAACCCGGTGGTTTATTTGGGATTTCGGAGTGGGGGGAGAAGAGAGCGTTCAGTGAGCTGAAGGTTCATTTCTGTTGCAGTTCAGGACCCTGAAGAAGAAGCTGGAGGAGGGAATGGTGTTCACAGAATACGAGCAAATCCCAAAGAAGAAGGCGAACGGCATTTTCAGCACGGCGGCCCTGCCGGAAAACGCCGAGCGCAGCCGGATCCGCGAGGTGGTCCCCTACGAGGAGAACCGCGTGGAGCTGATCCCGACCAAAGAGAATAACACGGGTTACATCAACGCCTCCCACATCAAGGTGAGCCGGCGAGCGGGCCAGCAGGGTTTGTCGAAGATGCCGGGGTCAAAGGTAAAAAATACAGGGAGGGGAAAAATGCAGGACGGCTGCCACTGTGCATCTTGGCTTATCCCCAGACCCCGAGGGAATGTTTTTGAACTTCTGGGCTTTTTCTGACTCAACTGGAAGGGCATGCCCAGCACTGCAGACAGAAGGAAGCTGGCGGCCTTGGCAAAAGCTCGGGTCAGCTATTTCTGAAGCTTGCTCTCCACAGAGGATTTAACCGTTCCTTCTCCCTGTGGCTTAGAGCTCTCCCCCACACTCACAGGGAAACGGAGGACTGTCCTTTTCCATTTGTAAGGAGCGGGCGGTGGAGACTTGGGGAGTCCCAGGCGTTATCTTACTGCCACGGAGGCTTTTATGATGCTCAGGAGTCACAAAACTTAGCGTTCTCCCTGGTAGCACGACAGGTGATGGGTTTAACACCTGCCGTCCCAAAGTTGCATGATGTTTAGGAGAGTGGGCGAATGTAGTCGTAAACCGTGGAGGTGAGCTTGCTAGTGACTCTGGCAAGATTTGCCTCCTTATCCAGAGCGTTAGGGCCGTGGTCAGCAAACTGCAGCTCTTTGGCCCCTGGGGTGTGGCTCTTCCACAAAATGCCACGGCCTGGGCGAGTCTATGTTGAAGAAGTGGCCTTAGAAGAAGTTTATGTTTAAAAAAATGTGGCTCTCAAAAGACATTTCAGTCATTGTACTGTTGATATTTGGCTCTGCTGACTAATGAGGTTGCTGACCACTGCATTAGGGTCATTACATTTTTGTTAATATTTCAGAAACGTAAACCTTTTTTTATCTCAGTATTTTGTAGGTTTTAAAATTAGTCAGCTTAGTTTGGCTCCAGTTGGAATTCAGAGATAAGAATGCTTGTGATGGATCAGTGGTGGGCAAACTCACTAGTCAACAGAGCCAACTATCAACAGTACATCAATTGAAATTCCTTTTGAGAGCCACATTTTTTAAACATAAACTTCTTCTAACGCCACTTCTTCAACATAGACTTGCCCAGGCCGTGGTATTTTGTGGAAGAGCCACACTGTAAAGGGCCAAAGAGCCGCATGTGGCTCAGGAGCCACAGTTTGCCGACCAGGGAGTTAGATGTTTCCTGAATCGCTTGCCTTTCTCCGTGTCCCTGATAACAGAACATATGTGTTTAGATCGTCACCATTTGCTTTCTTGTCTGAAACAGAAGAATTTATTCACGTACCTCTGTTAGAGCCGTTGTCACAGGCCGTTTTAAACAGGAGAAGGTTCACGTTATGAGTCTGGTGTGATCGGTAACCTTAGAAACCTGTTTCTGGCTTTGCCCAGAGTTATTTCCTTTCTTCCTTGGACTTCTCAACTGTACCCAGATCCTTGGTAGATTCCTCTGAGCCTCCAAAACACAGCCAGATGTCTGGCTCCCGTATTGGTTATAACAGTTTTGAATCAAAATATGAAAAGTGAGCCGGAGTGGGGTGTGAGTGTTTTTGCACACAGGGCATAGATAACCACATATATTTTTGTAGTGTATCAGGAGGTACTGTCAAAAGAAATATAAAAGAGTGTTATGCTGGATCAGGTTGCATGTTTTGCTCTCATTTTTTGAGAACAAGAACGAAAACAATAATAAACAAAACAAAACAAAACAAAAAAAACGAGCCCCAGGAAACTGGTCTTAAGTAAACTGATGCAGGCCATGGGCTTTGTCTGGCTGGACACACAACGGCCAGAATAATGTGGTCCCACAAGGATGCGACTCTCACAGCTTTATTTTTTTAAAAATATATTTTATTGATTTCCACAGAGAGGAAGGAAGAGAGATAGAGAGCTAGAAACGTCAATGAGAGAGAAACATTGACCAGCTGCCTCCTGCACACCCCCTGCCGGGGACGTGCCCACAACCAAGATATATGCCCTTGACTGGAATCGAACCTGGGACCTTTCAGTCCACAGGCCAATGCACTATCCACTGAGCCAAACTGGTTTCGGCCACAGTTGCTGCTTGATAGCAGGTCTGTGGGAATCTTTTGTGGCCATGTTATACTATCTTCGCCTTTGGCCCGGCCTCCCCTCCCCTTTCCCATCTGGTGTCTGGACAAAGCTGTCCCCGCGCATCAGCCCTGCCCACAGGGTGTGCTGAGCGAGGCATTCCTTTTCCCGGTGTTCTCCGGGGCCCACGTTTCATCCTGCGGACCTGGGTTAGACATGGGTGCATTTCATCGACCCGCAGAGCTTTGTAGGAACTTGTCTGGGCTGTTGGGAGCGAGCGGTGCGCCTTGCCAGCGTTTGTTCCCTGGGTTCCGAGCAGCCGTTAGCACAGAGCAGATTTATTTGCTCCATAGATGGAACCACATCTGTGAAGTCTACCTCCGTAACACTGGCAGTTGTGTTTCTAATGCAGTTTTTAATGCCCTCCTGTCAATACTTGGAATTTGCTGGAAGGCCCCGGGCAGCAGCAGCAGGCTCTGCAAGTATTTAAGGCTCCTATATGTTGGATGCCAGGGAGGCTAATGTTTCAAGTCACAGCGCCACAGATAACCCGGTGCCTGGCCAGCCAACAGCTGGATGGATGATATCCCCAACCCCCGGAACGTGGACAGCGGGTCTGGCTTGCCAGCATTGATCTGAACATGCCTTGTGCACTGAGGCAGTTCACAGACACTGTTTTTTTATTTGAATCAAGTTAGCATCTAGTTTCATAAAACAGATGAGCGGGGGGAGTTTCAAACCATGACCACTTCATTGCTCCTGGAACTAGGTAGAGATCTGCCCTGGTGGGGTGTGAGAGGCCTGACTTCGCCATGCCAAGGCGCAGGCATGGAAGGGGACGTGAAAGAATCCTCGCAAAGGCCGCCATCTCCTCCGGATGGCACGGCCTTCAGCACTCAGCTCACAGCTTGCTTGTGGTTGTCCGCCGCTGGAATTTACAGCTGCAGGATTCTTCTCCCAAGGCCGCTATGAGCTGTATGGGGTAGCGATTTTCTAAAACCATCTCACGGTTCCCGAGTTTGGCTGGATGCTGGGAATGGCAAAATATCATGTGTGGTTGATTTAAGTGCCTCCATGACACCTCCACCATGTGGGGCGGGTCCAGCCGAGGTTCATGACAACTGTTCTTATCAGGTCTGCAGCAGCAGGAAGACATTCCTCCTGGAGGGTCTCATTCCACGGTGGATGTCATCATTGCTTGACAGGACGCCAGGGAACTCTGTTTTTCAAACTGGGGGTCACGGTATAGCAGAGTTCACTTAGAGTCAGGACCAGTTTGGGGGGTGGTGGTGTTTTTTTTCTTTGTTTGTAAGTAGACTAGAATAGAGAAAAGAATGGAAATGATCAAAGTGCATGGCACACAGGCAAAACTCTTGTTTCTGTAATAAATTCTGTTAGGCCACACACACACACACACACACACACACACACACACACACACACGCCTATTCATCTAACGTGTGTGTGTGGATATGTTTATGTATATGTGTGCTTTTTAAAAAATGCACTGGTTTGCACCTAATTCCTGGGGGTTGCAGTAAGAAGAGAGGGTTAATAGCATTTTCATGCGAGAATGTCTCCATAGCCCCCTGCAGCCTCGGGGGTTTTGATGTTGGCACAGAGCCACGTGGCCGCCCGTGGTCAGCAGGTAACACTGTCCTGGATTGGGGGCTGCCTCACCGATGCTTTCCTTGGTTTGTAGGTGGTGGTTGGCGGGGCCGAATGGCACTACATCGCCACGCAGGGGCCCCTGCCGCACACATGCCATGACTTCTGGCAGATGGTGTGGGAGCAGGGAGCCAACGTGATCGCCATGGTCACCGCGGAGGAGGTAAGGGGAGCGGCCGGCAGCCCCCCGGCCAGGGGAGGGGTGGCCAGAACATGGGCTTTGTGTCGGGGACTGGGCTGCTCCGGATGCTTCCTGCGGCACCACGTCTCTGCAGAGCCTCTTCCATGGGCATTGCACGTGTCTCCTCTCCTCACTTCCCCATAGACGGGTTTCCTTCCCCAAAGAGAGTCTGTTGGCTTCCATTTTCACCAGCATTTCACTCTTTTCCCTGCATTGCCATGAATGAAAAATTAAACCGGAAAGAACCAGCTCACTTTTGTGTGCCAGACAATACAACCCATAGTCTCTGCCCTGGGTCCCGAGAACCTGGGCTGCTGTGGGCGAATGGGCATATACTTGTTCCAACCACGGCCATGGCCAGCCAACGCCCATCATGCTTATTGCAGAGAAAGACCGGAGCTATGGGTCCTGTAGAGGTTCTTTATTCTTTTTTTTTCTTCTTTTTTAATGTATTTTATTGATTTTTTTTTTTTTCAGAGAGGAAGGGATAGGGATAGAGAGATAGAAACATCGATGAGAGAGAAACATCGACCAGCTGCCTCCTGCACACCTCCTACTAGGAATGTGCCTGCAACCAAGGTACATGCCCTTGACCGGAATCGAACCTGGGACCTTTCAGTCTGCAGGCCGACGCTCTATCCATTGAGCCAGACCGGTTTCGGCAGGTTCTTTTTTCTTTAGGGAGAGGAGGAAAATGTGTTTTCTTCCTTTGCCAAGTCACACAGTCATTCTGTTGTAACTGGAGAAGTCTCCGTTATGGAAATGGGCACACGCCATTGAGCAGCTCACCAGGAGTTGCTGTCTTTGGGGGGGAAAGTGTTTTATGTTTCTTTTCTTGTCACATTCTCAGTGTTTTATCTTAACCACTTCCTTTTGTTCCTTTCGATCCATTGTAACTTACGTTTTTGAAGTCATTTAAGGAAATAGCTTCGTGTGGTTTTTACCAATACTTAGGGTGTTACCCCTTCGCTAATAATTTTTTAAAAATATATTTTTATTGATTTCAGAGAGGAAGGAAGAGGGAGAGAGAGATGGAAACACCCATGATGAGAGAGAATCATGGATCAGCTGCCTCCTGCAAGTCCCCCATTGGGGATCAAGCCCACAACCAGGCATGTGCCCTTGACCAGAATCGAACCTGAGACCTTTCAGTATGCAGGCCGATGCTCTATCCACTGAGCCAAACCAGCTAGGGCTTGCTAATAATTTTTAAAGGTGGGGAACAGAGATAATTGAAAAAAAAATCACATTTTCTCCATGGACTGTTCCGAGCAGTTGCTTTCCAGAATGGCCCATTGGAAGATAGTGCTGGCCCTGGCTGGGAGGTTCCGTTGGAGCATCGTCCCGAACACCAGATTTGCGGGTTCAATTCCCAGTCAGGGCACTTACCTAGGTTGAGGGTTTGATCTCCGTTTGGGAAACATACAGGAAGCAACTGATTGGTGTTTCTCTCTCACGTGGATGTGTGTGTGTGTCTCTTTCTCTGTGTGGTCTAATAGAGAGAGCCCTGGGCTGAACATCAGAGTTGACCACTAAGACGCTGTCACTCCCCTGCCTAAGGTCGCTCCATCCCCTTGGGCAAGCTTCCCACTGTCCATGGAGTGAAATCCAAACTGCCTCCCATGGACCAGGAGGCCTTTCCGACCTCCTGGCACCCACCTTCCTCCTGTTTCTTTACCACCCCAAGCGTGTTCTCACCTTAGACTCCGCCACTCTGACTCTTCTCTCTCCAACATTCAACTGCAGCTCAGCTGCGAATCTTTTACATGTCCCGTTGCTGTAGCTACCATTGTGCATCTTCTTATGGGTCTTAGCTGAGATTTGTAGGATCTAGTTTGTGATAGACACTGCACAGTGCTACTGCGTTAGTGACTTAGAAGCTATTCACGCTCCCCCCTACGCTCAGATTTTAAGATTAAGAGGATAAGCTGCCGGCTTCCCCTGACTAATTTTTCCAACTTCACTTTTGTGTGTGATTCAGGAGGGCGGACGCACCAAGAGCCACCGCTACTGGCCCAAGCTGGGCTCCAAGCACAGCTCAGCCACCTATGGCAAGTTCAAGGTCACCACGAAGTTCCGCACCGATTCCGGTTGCTATGCAACCACCGGCTTGAAGGTCAAGCACCTTTTGTCCGGGCAGGAAAGGACGGTGTGGCATTTGCAGTACACGGACTGGCCAGATCATGGCTGCCCCGAGGATGTCCAAGGATTTCTGTGTAAGTGTTCCCTTCCCAGCCAGGGTTTTACCAGCTGAGTCAGTGGACTGATCTGTTGGAGGTGAAATGGAAAGAGAAGATGCTTTCTGTTAAGTGGCAAAAGTATTATAACAGGGACGTATTCATTTCTTCTCCTGCGGGACAGAGAACACAAATATACTGTGTGTCACTTACCCTATTCTCTTCACCTTTTGCGCAAGTAAGCTAAAACTGTGGTCAGCTAATTGACTCCACTTTAATTTAGAACTTTCCTCATGACTGAATCATTATTCTGATACATGTTTGAACCTTGAAAACATGCTAAGTCAGCCCTGGATGGTGTGGCTCAGTTGGTTGGGCACTGTCCGTCCCCTGCACAGAATGGTTGGACACTGAAAGTAGAGAAGAGAAAGATGATCGGAGTCAAATAATCTAGAGAACACGAAAAAGATTTCTGCCCGTGTTTCGAGCCGATTCCCTGGATACAGAGTGCCGAGGGCCAGCCTCCAGAGGTCTTCACAAGTGTTAGTACAAGTGCTAGGGAAGCATCCATTCAAACCCAGTTCCTCTGTGTTATAGGGAACACCATTAGATGGTAGCACCTGCCATATTGGTCATTTCTTTTACTTTATAATTTAGCACAAGAAACCCTTGTCTCTTGTTTGGGAACACTGCCTTTTGTCAGAGAGAATGCGCAGTCACCCAGTATCCTTTCCCCCTCGCACAAACACTGGGGAGAGAACGCCAGGCACAGTGTGGCTCATGCTAGCACCCAACAGCAACCAGTCTAGTCAGCTTAGGCTGTCTTCCCTCTGTTGTTTTTGTTTTTTTATTTTGGTTTGTTTGTTTTGTTCTCTCACATTTTACATGACTCCTGGTGGTGCTAGTAGTAATAGGTGGTGTGTTTCTTTCAATGTATTTATTGATTTTAGAGAGAGAGGGTGAGAGACAGAAAAACATCCTGCACGTCCCACACTGGGGACCGAGCCTGAAACCCAGGCATGTGCCCTGACCAGGAATCAACCAGTGACCTAGTTCATAAGTCAACGCTCAACCACCGAGCCCACTCCAACCAGGCAGGAATAGCTGTTTATTTGGTAAACTCAATGACTTTGGAATGAGATAAGCGAAGAAGGAAAACAGTTCTTATTGACTGTATGTAAAGCAGATGCTATTGGATGAACCAGACTGAGGGGCACGCCCTTTTTCCTTTCCACCAATTTGAGCATCTCCCTGAACCCCTTGTATGTAGCTCCATCAGGGTGAGCTTTTCCTTTCTGAGTGCCCAGGCCTTCCAACCTGCTTCTCCCTGAGCCAGCGACTGCAAAATCTCATTTATTAATCGACTTCCTCCACTTCCTAGCCTGTTTTAGAAGTACATGTATACCCTTATTTTTTTTTTTTTTACGGCCATGAGGACAGACAGTGTAATTTTTCACTTGTGTCCTACTGGAGTATGAACAGATCTCCCTCCCCCTGGCCCTGCTGAGCTAGGCAGTTGCTGGGAGGGATGGGGAAGGTAGCACGATTCCCCCCAAACATGTGGCCTCCAGCAACGGGGCAGGGGGGTGGCTTACCTTGAGCTACTCTACCAGGTGAGACCCAAGCTGTAAAGCAGACTCTCCCCCCCCCCCCCCCCCGTGTCTATTTTAAAATCTAAAAATGAAGCCAGGCCTTGGCTGACACCCGCTCACTCAGAGAGGGGAAGGGTGAGAGGGCAGATGGAGGCCCTTCCCACCAGACACCGGCGCTGCCAGGCGGGCGTTTCCAGGGGACCCCGCCGGGGCTCTGATCCCCAGCTGTTGACGGGAGGAATTGCTGTAAGTAATGTCGAGGCTCATCTGCTTGGGGGACTTGGGGATTTGCAGAGGGGAGAACCGAATTTAATTTTTAAAGAAGAACTATTTAATTCAAAGGACACATTCTCCCATGGACTAATGGACTCCCAGCTGGTCCTTTCTGGCTTCGGGACTGGACTGTGGGTGCCAGCCAAATCATTAGTGTCTTGTAAGAACTGTAAATCATTGTCACTTAAAAAAAAAAAAAAAAGATTCTCCATCAGTTTTGGCTTCCCCCGGCTCCAATGCAGAACCCCTCGGGGCTGCCCTGATGGATGTGCCCTCTGTCTTGCAGCCTACCTGGAGGAGATCCAGTCGGTGCGCCGGCACACCAACAGCATGCTGGAGGGCACCCAGAGCCGGCACCCGCCCATCGTGGTCCACTGCACCGCAGGCGTGGGCCGCACCGGCGTGGTCATCCTCTCCGAGCTCATGATCTACTGCCTGGAGCACAATGAGGTGAGTCCCTCGGGGCCTCCCGACCCTTCCACCTGGGGACCAAGCTGGGCCCTGGCCAGGCCTGCACCTTCTCTCCTGGCCTGGCTCCCTCTGTCCCCACAAGAGCTTTCTACAGCCCCGATCCCTGCCCGGGCTCTGACATCCCCAGCCCCGGCTATCTTTCGTCTTTCACTGCCCCGTGCGGACACCCACGTCCTCTGGAGAGGTTGGTGTGTGCCATAGGGACCGGTTAGAAAGTCTGATCTTCGTCGGCATGGACTTCCAGGAGTCGGCAGGGTTGTGTAGGCCGTCTGGCCTCATCGTGGGTACTTCCCCGCGGTGCGTGGTTTGGTCACACGACATTTCGATGCGTCGGGCGTGTCTGGGATGTGTGTTGGCCTCCAGCCCCTGTGAAAGTGCATGTAGTGTACAAAGCTTTGGCATCCTTCGGAGTGGGTTCTCTCTAAAGGGGGTGGTTGCTGGCTCCGGTCTAGACGGGCAGTGGCCGGAGTGACAGAGCGAAGTGGGCATCTGAGTGCCTTTGCCGAGGTCAGGCCCCGCTCCTCTCCCTGAAGCAGGGGCTGTGGCCGAGGTGGTGCCCACACGGTGTGTGGCATCCCTTCCTGCTCCAGCCAGGTCTTCACCCTAAGGGGCTTTGGATTTCCTCAGGATGAAACGGCTCTGGGGGCCGGAGACCGCCCGCTGTTTGTTTATGTGGGGCTTAGAATGGCTGTCGCGTGTTCTGTCTTAGTGGGCTCCTCACAGCAGCCACGTAAAGGGCTGGGCACGTGCCAGTCCTCCTGCTTTACGGATGGGGAAACTGAGGCCCAGGCACTGTGCAGTGGCTTTCTGGAGCCCTGTGGCTCCGAAACAGCGGTGCCACACTGAGAAACAAGATCTTCTCCCTCCCCCGCCCCTTCACCCCAGCCCCAAGATTTCCTTCTCCGCTCTGCCTCCAACTTCAAGTCTCCTCGGGTTCTGGTTCATTTTTCCAAATTACACAGCTGGGAGGACCTGAGGACACTTTCCAGGTGGCTCGGTAGCTTTTCGGGAAAGTTACAACCCACGTTCTGCGAAGGAATTGACGCAGTAATATACGTGTCTCCTCATTACCATCCGTGGTTTGCAAATCAGATTAACTACTACCCCATGAGATTCGTTCTAGTGTAACTTGCAGGGAAACAATCAATGCTAAGTTTAAACATGTTCCAAGGACTGTAAACTCCCTCCCTGCCTATAAAGTTCATCTTGGAAGCTTCCAGTCTGTAGGATGCATGTCTGTGCTGCCGGGGAGGAGCGTTCGCAAGAATGTGGCCTAAGGTTGGAAAACACCGAACGTTCTGGTGAGGAGCAAAACGAGGAATCAGTTGAGACTGTGTCACAGAGGTTTCACCATCTTCTAGGAGCTTCTATCCCTTTGTCTCACATGACAGTTCTGGATTGCTTGCTTCTGCCACTATTGGAAGTCTCTAGTAGAGTGGATCGCTTGCCACCAAGTCCCAAATCCACTCAGCACTGGGAGATGGGATGAGATGGGATGGAACCAGGGGACCAATGGCTTGAGTATTCTGTGGGCTCCCCTGGGCTACCGTGGGCTCCACTGGGGTACTGTGTGCTCCGGGGGTGAAGGAAGGGCCTCGCCATCTCTTGCCCCCACCTACCCTTGTCTCTTTCTCCCTACTCCTATCACTTTCTTCCCCTTCTCTTCTCCATTCCCCATGTACTCTTCTGCTCCCGTCCTCCTCTTTAACTTGAGAAGCTATTCTGTCCATCTTGTCTGACATGAAGGGTTGTTCCGTTTTGAGCTCTTTGGAGACCCATTAAAGGCCAAGCCTCAGTGAGGCGATGACACGAAGGCTCATTGATCACCAGATGTTCCTGGCCCAGCAGAACGTACACACAGTGCATGTCAGAGCCAGCATGGCACCGAGGGAGGGACCAGGCCATGGGGGCCTCGCCTGGACTTGATGCGTGGACTTGATGAGGGCTCGGGCAATTAAATTCTCCTCTCTGGTGTGTCCAAACATAGCGGATTTCCTCCATGCTCAGTCGCACGCCAGAACATTCTTGGCCGGAACATGGTCAGTCCAAAAGGGACTTCTGTTCCCATTGATATTCAAAGATAGCTGGATGACTCATTTTTCACTTCCCTTCCCCAGCACAAATATAGCTGGCCTTATCTGCCCGTTTCCCATCAGTGCCATTGGTAGATGGTGAGGAAGAAAAAAGTTGTCCACTCTGTTCTGCTTCAGGCCTGACGAGAAAGCTCCAAGCTCTTATTTTGGGAGAAGAGTGGAGCAGGTTTAGTTAGTTTGTTTGTGTGTTTTTTTTGTTTTGTTTTGTTTTTTGACAAATATGAAATTGTATGTCCTATTATTTTCCTGTCTAAACTTTCCTGCCTCCTTTCCATGGCTTCTGGATTAACCCCCTTTATGTTTTATTCTCAAATTCATGCAGTTTTAATTTTGTCAGTGAAATGCCTTTTCTTCTCCCTGAAATAAAGATGTGTGAGGTCAGCACCTGTGAGGTAGGGATGGGAGGGGATTCACTCAGGCTGTTCCAGAAAGCCTCTTTGTGGCCCGTTGCTTTTGATCTCAGAATGTTTACCTGTCACGCTTTAATGCCCACACAAAGAGAGTTTTATGGATTATAATACTCTCTTTTGGCCCCTGGAGTTAATTTCAAACGACCAGGTTATCATCAGCCAAATAGCAAGGTGGCTTGGTCTTCCTGCTTTTCTGAGTTGGTTATCCCTCCTTCATAGACAGGGAGGAGAAAATGCCTTCCAAGCAAGACTGAGAAAGCATCAGCTGCCTCATAATTCCTTGGGTTAGGGCCAGTGGCCATCAGGGCCTGTGAGAGTGAATCTTCAAGGCAACGGGGACTCTTACCTTGAGGACCAAGGGACCCTTCTTTGTCTTATCTCCAAATTGTACCTTATCAGATAATTGCTCCTTGGGGCTGAGTCTTATAGGCTATTAAGATGGTGGTGGAGGTGCTGGTGAGGTTGGAAGAGGAGGTGGTGGAGGGGTGGTGGTGGAGGTAGTAGGATGGTGATGGGGGTAGCAGAGATGGAAGTGCAGGTGATGGTGATGATGATGACAATAATGAAAATATAACAACAGCTAACCTGTACTTAGTGTTTACATATGCCGGCACTATTATAACAGTTTTCCAACTCGAGAAGCCTTTACAGTTAACTCTGTGGGAAGAGTCTTGTGTAACACAGGAAATGAAGGAATGTGTCCAGATCCCACACCTAGGAAGTAGAGTGGTGCTTCAGCAGGTAATGGTTCATTTCATAACATTATAAAATGATCATGCGTGGTCCTTAAGAACTGTGTGCAGACATTGTGCTCAGTGCTTCACATGGATGTCTTTATTATGATCCAGGAAGTAGCTATGTGATCCAGAAGCTTATACCCCATGTCAGTCACTAACCTGGGCAGGGCCACTGTGCCATTGGAGGATCCTTATCCTTATCCTTATCTACAAGTGAAGAAAGGAAGATCAAGAGATGGCAAAAATCCTACTGTTGGGCCACGATAGGGTTGAGACTACCAGTTGGGTTTAACTCCAGCCTCTATGTTTTCTCTAACACACTGGTCTGTATTTTAAATACTGTGTTCCCCTGAAAATAAGACATCCTCCGAAAATAAGACCGAGCGGATGGAAAGATAAGACATACCCTGAAAATAAGACCTAGCGCAACTTTGGTAGGAAAAAATTAATATAAAACACTGTCTTATTTTCGGGGAAACAGGGTAGCACATTCCTGGCTGGTGTGGCTCAGTGGTTGAGCGTTGACCCTTGAACCAGGAGGTCACAGTTCCATTCCCAGTCAGGGCACATGCCCGGGCTGTAGTCTCATTCCCCAATATGGGGTGTGCAGGAGGAGGCGGCCAATCAATGATTCTCTCTCATCCTTGATGTTTCCATCTCTCTCTCCCTCTTCCTTCCTCTCTTTGAAATCAATAAAAACATATTAAAAATAAGATACAGTAGCATATCCGTGGCACATGCCAACCTGGTTCTCCAACTGCTGGTATCAAGTCTTTGATTGGGAAAATCTACGGGGAGCTGAGTCCTTTGCTCTCTCCTGTGCCTGTGCATGGACAGCGAAGGAATGCTGCTTGGACGAGGGAATGAGGAAGTACCCACGGGAAGCTCCCCATCTCAGGACCTTGTGCTTTCTCTCTTTTCGCAGAAAGTGGAAGTGCCCATGATGCTGAGGCTCCTCCGGGAGCAGAGGATGTTCATGATCCAGACCATTGCTCAGTACAAGTTTGTCTACCAGGTCCTCCTCCAGTTCCTCCAAAGCTCCAGACTCATTTAACCCCCGGACCCAGCCCCATCGTGCAGATGGGGAGGCGCCTCCAGACAGAGCCCGCGCCCCCAGCAGGGCATGGATGGCTGGAGCCGGCAGGACACGGGCTCCCTCATCCCGGGAGCCAAGATTCTTCATAAACATCATGTATTATTTTGTATGAGATAATTTATTTCCCCCCCCCTTTGGAATAACGTGTGTGAATCATTGTAATGGCAGTTTTCACAGTAATGTAGTGCTTTTCATTGGAACCACATTTTGACTGATCTGCATTGTAACGTGTTGGTAGGGAAAGGTCGCCTGGTGGATCATTTGGGGGACAGAGGCAGAAGGGGAACACATCTCTGGTGAAGTTGCAGCCAGATGGGTAACCAACCCTGAAATCCATCAGCTTAATTGCTCATGTCCAAATCAAAGATTCAAGAAAATGAATTTATCCTAAAATGTAAAGATGAGGGTGCCAAGACCTTTTTTCTCTGAAGGAAAAAAAAATCTGCTCTTCTTTTATATTTTGGGCTCAGGAGCCTTGATGGACAGATTCCTCCCTTCTTCCTTCGGTCCTCACCCTCAGTAGTCTTCCCCCAGTCCCTCCTCCAACCTTGAGTGACAGCCGGAGCAGCTAGTGGAAAGGCTGCATTTATGCTGAATGGGGAGTTTCGTTTGCATCGTTCCCAACCACCCATTAACCTGGGCTTGGAGGCTGGGTTTCCTTGCTGGGGGCTGCACCCTCAGTATTTGCAGCTTTTCCTCATTTGCTCGGTGGGTGTCAGGCTGGTGGCCTTGGAGGCCTTGGGCCAGGCCATCTGTGCAGCTCGGCGTCTTGCCTGATTGAGAGAAGCGAATGGACCAGAGTGAGAAGAGAGACAGGAAGGCTCTCGATCCTGCTTTTGTTTAGGATGGGTGTGCTGGACGGGAGTCTGAAGGTCAAGGGGCTGGGGCGTTCTGTCTGGCCGTGAGCCACCAAGTCATTGGGAAGGTTACCAAGGAGACAGTGGAGAACGCTGATTTATGGGGGCTGACTCTCAGCAGGGGTCCTGGCCAGGAGCCACACCAAGTGTGACCCCACTGTGCTAATGCCATCTCCAGACTTTGGTCTGTGGGGGTGGAACTCAGCCCACTCAGGGCTCTGTCAGCGTAGGCCTGGCCCCTGTGATGAACGTGGTGGAGTTGGTCTCGCACAGAGCCCTGTGGTGGTCCCTCCTTTCTCCATACAACCCACTCTGGTCATTGTCCACGCTGCCTTCAGGGAAGCTCCGTCCCCCCTTTGTCTCTTCCTGGGCCTTCACTGGCCCCTGTGCTTCGGAATTTCTTAGGTCAGTACCCAGATATTCCATGCACTTTCCCTCTTGCTGAATTTGGGGGGGCATTTTCTTCTCTCGTTTTTCTTGAATGTAACTTTTAAATTGTTTTGTTCTCCGAATGGACCACTGTGGTGGTGTACCGTGCCTTCTTCCACTGCTGCTTTTATTTTCTTCTTTGTCTCTTCCTGGGCTGGAAATACAAGGAAAGAAGGCCCTCAGAGCAACTAGAAAGAAGGCCCTCAGAGCAACTAGAAGGCCCTCCTTAACTTATCGTCACCACGGACGGATGGGTGTGGACGCAGGTCCCCATGAACTGCTTTGGCATAGGAATCAGCTCAGCTTCACATCTGGCCAGATGGTATGGTTTTTCTCTTCTTTCGAGTCTCTGGTGATGGAGGGCCTTCGTCTTCTACCCCATGGTCTAAAGGAGTCTAATAACTTCAGCTGAGCTCCGCAGGTCCCGGAATTTTGGTCTAGATTCTAAAAAAGAAAGCCATTAGCATGGCATGTATTGTCAGCGGAACAGAGCTCACAGCCCTCACCCAGGCGCTCAGGACTTGGATCATCAACAGGCAGAGAGGCATTGGTTTCCTTTCCTTAGATTCAGTCCATCCTTGGATGATTCTGCTGTGAGGGATGTCTGAACAGTGGGTCTGCAAGTGCCTGCTTTATTGTTTGATGAACTGTCAGTCTCTCTCATCCCGTGGGCCCCAGCCTGGGCGGCGCTGACAGGTCTCATGTGGGCAGCCCGTGGATCTGCTGTCTTTTTGAGCTCATCACTCATGGTCCCCTCTTCAGCCTGTGCACTGTGGCTCCTGTGCTCCAGGAGTACTCATGAATGCAGGAAATGAATGGGTTTAATATCCCGATTCCCAGCCAAAGTTTACGTTGAAACCCAAAGGCAAACATTGAACGTTATGCCCCATCTTCCCTTTTGAAAAACAAGTGCTTTGGGTCCTTCAGCACATTTTGCATTCCTTTCCACGGCTCCCAGCAAATGCCAGCCCCTCTCCTGTTCAATTAGCGGCCGCCACTTCAAGTTCTTCCAGTGGCATCTGCATAATCATTGCCCAGAGATGCTTCGTATCCGGGAAGCCTGCCAAGGAATAAACCTTGAAGCAAAAGAGTATTAAATTAGTTATCTAGTTAGAGCTTTTGGAATGAGTTCCTGATGATGTACCAAGTCTGAAGCCGGGGCTGTTGGAGAGTCTGTTTGCTGTGGTTTGGGTTTGAAAAGAGAAAATTAAAAAAGTTTCTCAACAAAAAAGCCCTCCAACACATCCAGGCCTTTGGTTCTGAAGTTCTCCAGGTGACCTGCTTTGTTTCTTTAATCCTCCCTCATTTGGATGACCCGGCCCCGTGTTTGTCCTTGTTCAGTGCGGTTGCTGGATTGTGGGGGCGGAGTTTGATGTCTTGAAGCTGAGCCTGTGAGCTTCATTTCTCCAAGGAGACACCACCTTTCAGTAGCATTTCCATCTACAGACACCTCTCTCCCTGGACAGGAAGTAGCGCACATGGATTTCTCCAGCTGGGAGCAGTAAGATGAGGGAAGGGGGGAACCTCCACACGGAATACTTGGAGTCATAGACCTTCGAGAAGCCCAAATACAGGTAATCTCACTTTCATACTTTTTGTGTCCTACACTGAGATGAGGAGCTCCATTTTTAACTGTAATCATTATCATCGTTTGCCTAGGGAGTCACTTGTCCATCTCGGCTCCTTCCTTGCGGGCTGTTCTCCGAGATTGGACCCTGGGCTTGCCCAGTGCTCACCTCACCTTCATCCTGTTGCCCTCAGCTTCTGTGGTTCCGTTACCAGCCCCAGTGGGTACGGCAGGTCAGCATGTTTCTCCAGTTGCTTCCTTTTCTGATCTTTCCCAGCTGACTGTAGGTTGACCCATAGGAAATCTCCAATAGTTGGACCATATTTTACTTATAACAACATGGATCAACCTAATCTGTAGTGTGTTTCTTCCCCCAACACAGTATTGATCCCACCACACAGAAAGATGGCATTTTTTCCAAACAAGTGCCGTAGCTCACGGAGGCCTGTGCAGTGGGCAGTGGGGCCCCGTGCGGACTCGCTGTCTTGCTCTGGTGATTGTTGCTGATTGGGCCATCTTGTGGGGCTCGGGAGTCCCCGCAGAGATGTCAGTACATGTTGACTCTGACGGGCAGGCTTGGCCATCAGGAGCGTCACCCTGGGGGTTTTCTGCTGCTCTTTCCTGGCTGTGCCATCGGTATGAGCTGTCCTCAGCCCAGGGGTGAGGGAACGTGATGTGTGACCCCCGAAGGTGGCCTCCGACTTCCACTGCGTGCTTGGCGGGAAAACGGGTCTAGTTATGGATTTTTGGGGGGCAGATAGTCAACCACTTGGGGTAGGAGGCAGGTGTAGGGAGCTCACATTTGAGGACTGCGATTGGGTCAGATCCACGTTCCTCTATCCTTCATTCCATCCCTGTGTCAGGGGTAGCTGGGCTCCTGGGGTAGGACACTTCCAGAGGCACCCAGCGGTCACTGTCTGGCTCTTGGGGTGGCCCTGGGTGGGAATTCAGCTTTCTCTTGTTTTACCAAAGATTCTGCTGCTGCTGCTGTTCTGTCTCCTTGCCTGTGGTTTTTACCATTTTCTCACACTCTTAGGTAATGATTCCTTTTTTGGTGAGCACAAAGCAACAACCCATCCCACACCACCTCCAAGTGGAGAGGTTGGGGTTTTCCGTGGACACCGTACACCCTTCCCAGTGGCCCACAGCTCTGCGACTGACAGACTGGTTGGCCCTGTGGGGTGGGAATCGCTAGGGTGCTCAGTTGTGTTTGACACTTCCCTTGAGTGAGCTCCGAGCGAGAACACAGAATGGTTCTGTTTTGCCTGTTTATGAGGCCCTGGGTGTGTGTGGGGGTGAGAGATGGGGGGTGGGGGTGGCAAAAGGACTTCGTGACCATCTGTTGCACGTAGCGCAGGTGCAGTTTGGTGCCGTAAAGGGGAGGATGCACAGCCCTCCTGTCCCAACAGCAAATTTAAGGGCACGGCCTTGGAAGGCAGCAGGGCCAGAGTTGAAGTGCAGCCGGGGTTTGACAAGCAGCTGCTTGGAAGTGCCTGCTCCTCCTGCCACCCTCTGGGCCATCAGGATCCTTCTGTCCAGAAAGTGCCTTCCCCTGGCCCGGGGAGGAGATAGGAATGGGGAGAGGAGGGGGAGCTTTTAGATCAGCCCTGAAGTTACTATCAAAACACTCACTGTAATTTTCCAGACCTGAGGATGTCTGTCCTGAGCCCATGTGTCTGGTTCTAAGCCGCGTCCTCACTGCTGGCATGGAGCTCGATGGTGCGGTGGGTTCTGGTGGTGCCTCCCCTCGCCTGCCGGTAACTGATCCTTTCCTGGCAGCCTGGCCAGCGGGGTTCTGCTCCTCCAGGGGCTCCAGGGTTCGCCATGGCAGCTCCCGGGCAGCTTCGTTCCCCGTTCCTGTCCTTTGTGCATGGGCTCATGATCAGGACCCAGAAGGGGAGGTGTCAGGACAGTTGTTCCTTGTCTTGTTGGGGGACCTACCTTGTGATGTCACCATCTTCCTTCCCAGAGCACCTCCCTCCCCCGGGGCTGGGCGGACCTCGGCCTGCTCTCCGCTTGCTGTCACCAGCACACCGTTTCTTCCCCTCCCTGGTCAGGTGGCCCCTACAGAATGGTTTCATCTGGTCATCGAGAACCACTCTTCAGCCGAACGATGTCATTTTGATTTTTGAAAGTTACGTCATTTCAAGGAGTATGAGATCTGGCAGGTGGAAATAACCAGAATGGAAACAGCTGCCCGACCCACCCACTTTTTCCTGCTTGGCCATGCCTCCCCCCCCCCCCCCCCCCCCCCCCGCCCCACACTCCCTACTGTCCCCAGCATGAGAGATGAAGCAAGGATGGACTCGATGGCCGGCCCTGCTGAGGATGCAGCAGTACCCGCTATTCCTTTCATGGTAACCTACGTGGGTTCCCAGCGGCTGCATTGGGCACATGGTGTGTGTGGTCCGATGTATTTATTTCTAGCTTCCTCCTGCACCCATGCCCCCTCCATCCTAGCCAGGATCAGGGGAGGGGCAGGCACGCCACTCATCCACTCTAGCGAACCCCGTTCTCCTTCCCCAGCCTCCTCCTTCAGGAACCCTCCCCGTCCTCCCCCCCATCTGACACAGTTTCAAAGAGAAAGCTGCCTGGGGTCTCGGTGTGGCCGGGGTGGTGCTGTTTTGCTGAAATCTCAGGAATCCTGCTTTAAGCGTAGGGAGGTGGCTCTCAGGGCTGGGGTGCCCGGCGTCCTGGGCACTTCTCAGGGGCCTCCCTCCTCCCTCCACTGCGGGGTAGCTAAATAGTAACCTTCAGCAGAGAGCTGAAAGCTGTTCTCCGGAGCCATTTTTTCTTTTTTTCCAACTTGAACGTTGTCAAATGTTACTGCCGGGTCCCTTTCGCTGAACTTTCTTGCCACTGCTTGGAATCTTCCCAATCCTACTCTGTCCTTCCAGGAGTGAGGTTCCTCTTCCGTAGAGATGGTTCCCTGGCATTTCCTTTGTTCCTCTCCTAGCTCACTCCTCCGAGGAGCCTTAACGTGGAAAAGAAAGGGTTACACATGCAGATGACTCTATAACCTTACGTAGCTTGTGTTGCTTCAGATAACAGGCTTATTATGTAGTTTTGTTCCACTGGACCGTTGTCCTGCGACTTCATTCAGTATTTGGATGCTTTCCTTGGTCTGTGTTTTATACAATGTCATGCATTGTGGTACCCTCCGAACCACTTGACACTGAACAGGTTTCAAGTCCAAAGGATGTACAGACAGGTCCGCCGCTTAGAAACCAGTTGGTTCTGAAGGTGTGTGGGTTCCGCCCACAGAGGCCTGGCCTCCAGCGCAGCTGAAATCTGGGGTTGGGTCCGCCAGAGCTGGTTGGCTGCTGTTCTTGCCAGGGCTGACCTGGAGATGTAGCCACCTGACAGGCTGTTGCTGTGAGCAATGCATTCCGGATTGGGACTTGGGATCCTGAGTTGCCACCTTACAAATGGAAGCCCTGTCTCTCTGTTACTTACTCGTAATGGGAGAGAGGGAGTAGGGATTTCGTAGGACATTCCCTAAGTGGGGAAATGGTTTATCCTTGTTCATTGTCAACTCGGCTTTGTTATACACTCCCTCTCAATTTAATAATATTAAAAGCCTTAAGTAAAACTATGCATGCTATTCGATGTGCTTTTTTTTATATCAGTCAATAAGCTTGTGCTTGGCAGTTTTGTACACAGGTATGCGGTGTATAAAACTGACTTTTTGACAGTATTGTTTGCACTGTTTCCTATCTGTTTTTATAATGTCTTATTTCGATACTGGCCCTAGTTGCCTATTGTGTATGTTCTCTCACTGCCCGTGTCATGGCTGTGAAATGTTTCATACGTGCCTTTACAAATGTGAGATCTTTATTCTAACCTTTTTTTTATATATATAAAAGACATCTATTGATTGACATATTGCAATAAACTTTTTCCCCCCCCAGAGAAAAACAGTTGCGTTTTCTCTCTTCTGTACTGTGTGTGTTTGCTTTTGTTGAAAGGGTTATTTTCTCAGGGACCAAGGCCTGGGAACATCTCCTTTTCAGTTTTCTAACACCTATTTATTTCTACCCACCTTTTATTCCTGTATAACGTGATCATACTAAAGAATTAGTTTGCCATTTCCAGAGTGGTCACTGTTGGAAAAAACATCTGAATGGGATGATCAGTAGGCAGATGGAGCGAAGACGACACGGAATCGGACCCTCCTCACCAATGCTGTGATGACCCTCATGGGCGCCAGGTCCCTTCCGCCAACTGCCATTTACTCAGGCCCTAAGCGTGCACCTGCAGAAGACAGGCACCAGGCTGCCAGACAAGACCCAACCTGTAGTTTTTGTCTGTCGACGTTACTCAGATGAGTTATTAACAACTCATCGCTAGCTCTAAGGCGGCGGCCCTCCCTCATCATTTCCAGCCCATCAGCTGCCATACGTACACGATGAAGCTGTGGTGGTGAGGGCCGACACCGTGGGGCTTTGATCCATACCAGGGCAACAGCACCATGGCGGGGAGTAACCCATGTGCAGCCCCGGCACCAGGCCAGTTCCCGTTCACCACATAGGTCCCAGCGCGGCTCACGTGATGAAAATGAGGATAATGTGAGCGAGGGTGAAAGGAGGCGGCAAATGTCTCGTTAAACGTACAAATCTCTGTATATGTTGATTGTGACAACAAAACAATAGTTCTTGAAAGAAAAGCCACATGCTATTTTTAAAAGACAAAATGTCAGTGAAAATGGAGAGAAGTCCTGTAGATGGCAAGATAATAGGTACACACACTAATATGTTTTCTCTCTCATGGACGGGGTAAATAGACTCAGCTTATTTTCTTTGGTTGATAAACAGAAAAAGTGGTTTTATATAATTTAGAAAACAGTAGTAGACCTCTAGCTCCAAACAGAGCTGGAGAAGGAACTTTTTTTTTTTTTTTAATGTGAAAGAATAAAAGAAAAATACTAAATACAAATATGCAGTAAGATGACAAAAACGGGCTCTAACATGCCCACTTTGAGATTTCACTTTTTATTTTCTTTAATAAAAATAAATGGGGAGAACTTAGACTTACCAGTTATGAAACATAATAGAAGAAAAGCTCATTCATAGTAGCTATAGAAACATTAAATCTAGGTGTTAAGGGGAATGTGTAGGACCTACACAAACATAACTAAGCCCTTCTGAGGCAAAACAGACAAATTGGTAAACACTACATTCTTGGATAGAGGAGATCATTTCTCTGTGTATTGCTGACTCCAAAACAATCCTCATATCACAACAGCATTTTTGGAGATGGGAGATGGGGCAAGGCCAAGAGAGGACTCTCAAGTACTTGGGAGGGTTTAACATAGGATAATGGTTAGAAAAATCCAAGAGAACACAAGAGATTAATTAGCTCCAGTGGATACTAAAAGTTTTAGAGTGCAACAAAAATTAAGAATACTGGCGAATCAATGGGATGATTTAGTATAGAAATAAGCCAACATCTTAAGGCAATGAGAACATTTCAATTCAGCAGGGGGGGAAAAAAAAAACCATTCAATAAACGATGCTAGCATAAGTAGCTAGCAATTGTGAACATTAAAAATTTTTAAATAGTACCATCAGATTTCTACTAACACAATTCCAGATAGATCAAATACATTTAAAAAATGGCTTTAGCCGAAACCGGTTTGGCTCAATGGTAGAGCGTTGGTCTGCGGGCTGAAAGGTCCCAGGTTCGATTCTGGTCAAGGGCATGTACCTTGGTTGCGGGCACATCCCCGGTAGGGGGTGTGCAGGAGGCGGCTGGTCGATGTTTCTCTCTCATCGACATTTCTGGCTCTCTATCTCTCTCCTTTCCTCTCCGTAAAAAATCAATAAAATATATTTAAAAAAAATAAAATAAATAAAAAATGGCTTTATTTCTTTTCTTCATTTAAAAATGCAAACAAGCTACCACAGGAGCTAATCTGTTGTGTTCTCTTCGATTTTTCTACTTGGGTCATGGAAAACAAAGTGAATGGCCCTGGCTAGTGTTGCTCTGTGGTTGAGCATCATCCCAGGCACCTAAAGGCCACTCGTTCAATTCTGGGTCAGGCACATGCCTGGGTTGTGGGCTCAATCCCCAGTAGGGGGCATGCAGGAGGCAGCCAAATGATGTTTTTCTTTCACACTGATGTTTCTCCCTCTCTCTTCCTCTCTCTTTCAAATCAATAAAAACATTTTTTAAAAATACAGTTAATGGACAACTAGAGGAATCATTGTCAGCACAGGACAAAGAACGAATATCCCAAAACACATTGAGCTCTTATAAATTATAATGAAAGACATGCATAGCAAAATCAGGAACTGCCATAAAAAACAACTCAGAGAAGAAACACAATTCCTAGGTGGATTAGAAAGTACCCAATCCCCTTAATCCCCTTTATTTTAAATGCATATAAAATAAAGTATTTCACACAGTAAATAGGCAAAAAAAGTTTTTAATAGTACTGTGTTAGGAGGGTAGAGGAAAACAAATACTACAAATACTATATCCTACTGACACCTGATAGTTTTTTAGAAAGAAAATGTGGCAACAAATACTCCAAAAGTTTATATGGAACCATTAAAGACCCTGAATAGTTGCAGCAATCTTGAGAAAGAAGAACAAATAGGAGAGATCACAATAACATATATCAAACCACAACACAAAGCCGTTATAACCAAAACAGTCTGGTACTAGCACAAGAACAGGTATATAAACCATGGAATAGAACAGAGACCCCCAACATTGACCCGCACCATTACGGTCAATATTTGACAAAAGAGGCCATAACATACAATAAACACAGTTTCTTCAACAAATGATACTGGGAAAAGTGGACAGACACATGCAAAAAGATAAAATTAAACCAACTTACACCATACAAAAAAATAAACTCAAGATGGATAAAAGACTTACATGTAAGGCATGAAACCGTAAAAATCTTAGAGGAGAACACAGGCAGTAAAATCTCAGCAATCTCACATAGCTATGTTTATGGGTACATTTCTTAGGGCAGTAGTCTGCTAACTCATTAGTCAACAGAGCCAAATATCAAAGGTACAACCATTAAAATTTCTTTTGAGAGTCAAATTTTTTAAACTTAAACTTCTTCTAATGCCACTTCTTTCAGGTCGTGGTATTTTGTGGAAGAGCCACACTCAAGGGGCCAAAGAGCCGCATGTGGCTCTTGAGCCCCAGTTTGCCAACCACTGTCTAGGGCAAAGGAGAACGGCTGAGCACATTACAACACTCACATTCTTCTGCCTCTAAAAAGAACGAGGCAAATCTGCAGAAGCTAAAATGGGAAGAGGTCCTTATTGTTGAGTCAGAGATTATAAAATACGTCAGGGCATTCTGCCTTGGTTTCTCTAAATCTACTTATATGGAGATGGAAAAATTGGGACCACATATGCAAACTGTTCACAGTGGATTCCTCTGGAGAGTGGGACTGGTTCAGATCCCTTTGCTTTATTTTAAATTTATTGAACAATTATGACTTTCATAAAACGCCAAGATGGTGGGCTAAGCTTATTTTAGGCTTAGCTACAGAGTAAATTAGCTTTATTAAAACCCTAAACTCCCAGAGGCAGGACCATGCCTTCCTCATGTCTCCACACTACAGAGCTGTTTTGCATACAGTAGGTGTTCAATAAACACCTTATTGCACTTGACTGGACAAGAGAATGCATCCTACCTGCTGGGCCCACTGTGGGCCGTGAACTGTGTGTGTGAGAGATGCGTGTGGGTGTGTGGAGATGAAGAAAAGATAACATAGCAGATTCATGGCTGCTCAAGCTATTTGCATGAGCGTGAATATAAAAAAGCTGGCATCAACTCCATCAGGCTTAAGGATTACCTAATAGGGAAGTTCCTCTTTGGATTACGGGAAACATCCCTGCGCCTGGCACAGGCCTGGTCCTGGGCCTGCTCTCCACAGCAGTTGCTAACAAACACTCCCCAGGTTGCTACCTTCTGGGCCGTGGGGAAGCTGGATTCCTGCTGGCCTCGCGCTCCCACTCGGGGAGAGACCAGTGTTTGCTCAACAACACCGAGTTGGTAAGGAAAAATTCTTTTCCTTCTTAAGCTTCCCTGGGAGTGTTTCCAGACAAGGAGAGGACTGCACAGACCAATGAACAGAGGTGGAAAGCCTGCTTTCAGCCAGATGAGGAAATAGCCAAGAAAGAGAAGCACGTGGAAAACATCTGTATGCATGGAAGGGAGACCAGGCACCAAAACCAAGAATCAAAACAGACACAGACTCCTCCCAGAGAGGGCCACCCAGCTCTCTTCATTGTACCTTTATCCTCCCCTCCCTTTTTTAAATTCAACTATTTATTTTGCTTTGCTGTAAAAGATGTTTTCAATTACAATTGACATTCAATATTGTATTAATTTCAGGTGTACAGTAGGGTGGTCAGTCATCTACCTGGCACCATACATAGCTATGGCAATATTATTGACTGTATTCCTTATGCTGGACTCGGGGAGCTATGCAGGCTGTCTTGCACATAGTAGGTCTTCACTAAATGTCTCATTGCACTTGACTGGACAAGAGAATGTGTCCCACTTACTGGCCTCACTGTGTGCCGTGAACAGTGGGAGATGCATGTGGGTGTGGGGACAAGAGGAAAAATGACACAGCTGTCAAGAGAGGAACCTGACATCCCCATGACCTTGGTAACCGCCACTTGGCACTTAATCCCTTCACCTTTTTCACAGGCACCCTTTTTCCCTTCCTGCATCTTCCCTCTTTCTTCCTCCAAAGGCACTGAACTCCGAAAGCAACTCCAGGCTAAAGAGGCCACCTGATCCACCTCCGAAGGGAGGCCTGGCTCACTGACTGACACAGAACAGGGGTGACCTCCACTCCATGATGGGGCCCCCCCAACTCTCAGAAATCCTCCCCGCTGACAAAAGGAAACACAAACTTCAAATACCATTCCCTTTTTTATTCTTCCATCATTCAGGTTTATTCACATTATAATAACAGGCATGAAGAGAAAGACATAATCACAGTTTTCAAAACTCAACCTGTCCCAAGTATCATACATGAAATCATGCCACCCTCTCTTAGGGGGGAAAGCATTAAAAAAAAAAAAGCATTAAAAATTGGTTAAAATTAAGACCGATTCCACGTGTGCCATGTGTTGAAGTGCACATAGTGTTTTCATGGCAATGACTTTACAGAAATGCAGGCGTGATGTATCTGATTGGAAATATTCAAATACTCGAGGGTTTCTGCATGAGCACTTTAAATAAAAACTGCCACATTGGCATCGTTTCAGTGGCTTTCAATTTCCTGTTTGATCTCAGAAATGTACGGATGATCTTTGCCGTGAGCCACTTCCATGATCGCCAAGGCCTAAGAGACAGAGACAAAGAGGGGGTGGGAGGTAAGAGCCCGAAGCCCATCCCCCCGCACCTGCACCGACTAATTCAGCTGGATTCTCTGCGTTAAGGGCAAGAGGCAAACTTGCTTTCAGAGTCTGTGCTCTGCTCCAGCATCTGCTCCAAAAGGGGGAGAAAGAAAAAAAAAAAAAAAAAAAAAAAAAAAAAAAAAAAAAAAAAGGCCCTGGCAGGGTGGCTCAGTAGGTTGGAACGACATCTGGTACACCAAAAGGTTGTGGGTTCATTCCTGGTCAGGCCACATACCTAGGTTTCAGGTTGGATCCCAGGTTGGGGCACATAGGGGAGACAACTGATGGATGTTTCTCCCTCTCCTTTCCTCTCTCTCTGAAATAAATAAAAATATATCCTCAGGCCCTAGCTGGTTCGGCTCAGTGGATAGAGCATCAGCCTGAAGACTGAAGGGTCCTGGGTTCTGGTCAAGGGCACATGCCCAGGTTGCAGGCTCCATCCCCAGTGTGGGGGCGTGCAGGAGGCAGCCGATTTGTGATTCTCATCACTGGTGTTTCTTTCTCTCTTTCTCTTTCTTCCTCTCTGAAATCAATAAAAACATATATATTTTAAAAAATTTAAAAACAAATATATCCTCCAGTGAGGATTTTGAAAAAAGACAAGATTAGCTAGTAACCCAGTTTCTACCACTGCAATAGCTGAAGAAACCAGAGAGAGAAACTGATTGCATGACATTTTTTACCCTAATAATCTAAGATTTGAGTTAAAAAAAATGCTTTAGGGATGGATTTGGCTACGGTCAACCAAGTAAACAGCTCTGCTGGAACAGAAAAGTCACAGTGAACTTTACCTCAAACCTGTTTGATGTTAAGGTTACATTACTAATCTACAAGACACGACTAAGCCCTTAAACCCTTTCAAAGAGTACATGCTTTCCTCTTAATACATATTCTTAAACAAAAACACCTAAAAAATCGCTGCAGGTTTCATTTTTGGAAGTTAGAGAGAAAGTACTAAATAAGGTTCTTTTAGAGTGAAGAGCAATAAAGCGAAGTCTCCACTGGCTCCATTGCTTCCTAGCTGTGTGACCTCGGGCAATTGACTTAACCACTCTGTGCCTCTCAGAGTGAATACATATCACGTGTTTGGAATAGTGCCTGGCATATAGAAAATACATACTGAATAAGAATTTATTTTGCTCCTTTGAACTCAACCGTATGACTCACAGAAATACTCAAATGACTCCCAATCTCCCAAGCAAGCGGGGTTTCTGATGGCCTGTGACTATGACAGCATTCTTTCTGCTGTGCCCCTCTGTTCCCAGGTCTCACACCCACAGGAGGCAGACCAGGGAACAGTGAGGTCTTCAGAGTCACCTGTTAGATGCCTCCCTTCACCTTCTGCATTCCTTTCATGACTCACGTTCCTTGCTCAAATCTACCCTGCCCTTCTTTCACCTCGTACTTAATTACCTACCAGCCCATGGCAATGGTGACCTCACAGGTTAATTCCCTCTCTCCACCCAAGTAACGAAGGCGATAAACAGGCAGATTTACTGGTTTAAAAAAGGAAAAAGTTACACTTAACTCACGCTCCTGGCCTGGCGGGGCCCTGACCCTCGCATGTGGGATTCAGACCTCACCACCATGGTCCCCAATAGCCTGGGAAGGTTTGGGGAACCTGGAGGCCTGGGCATCCAGGCTAGCCAGTGGCCCCAACTTTTACAAACATTCTCTGACAGAGGTCAACAGGCTGGTCCCAAAGGTTACATGTTATCAACTGTTCACTTCTACATCAACGGCGAGGAGAGTTGAAGGGTACCATGGCACTGCTGGGAGGTGAGGGCCAGGGCTCAGCCTCCCCCAGGGAGCACTGGGTGGCCGGCGGATGCTGCCAGGGGCCTGGTTTCCCTGCGTGCCAGTCACAATAGGAGTGGAGGCAGCTGAAGCCTTCGACTCAGAACGGCCCGTTTAAAATCAAGGCCCCAGCATGTACCCGAGGCTAATTACTTAACCTGTTCGCATCTCAATTTCCTCATCAGAAAAAAAAGCTCATTTTTTGTGAGAATTAAAAGCCACACGTCAGGGTCCCGGGATGTAAGTGACATACCTCGTGGCCTCTGCCCACGGGCACGGAACAGGCAGCGTGGCCTCCCGGGTGTGGGCTGAGCCTCCCATCCGGGCCGACCCCTCTCCCCACAGGAGGGCCTGGACGCCAACTAGCAAAGGCTCAACGACTCCACCGCCATCTGCCGAGCCCACCCCTCCCGCTGCCAAGGCCGGAGGGGGGCCAGGAGCCTCTCGAGGGATGGAGAAAGGAGAATGGGGGAGTGGGGAGAAGGGTACGGAGAAGGCGACCTCGGGCCTCGGACGTACCTTCCGCAGGGCTTTCTCGCCGGCAGCTCTGTTCTCCAGGCCCATGTACAGCCTGCCCAGCTTCAGCCACATGGAGGCCACGTTGAGGGAGTACCGGGGGTAGTGCTTGCTGGAAGGGGAGAAAAGACAACAGGCCGCCTTGTCAGAGGCCGCTGGGCAGCCCACAGGCCGGGCGCCATCTGCGTGGCTGCTGAGCTGGTGATGCCACATCCACGGAAGCCACGCCCACCCACTCCACAGGTGTGGCCGGAGCCTGTGGATGGTCAGCCCCAGGGGATCACCTGGAGGCACTTCATAGAATTCCGTTTGTGTGTCTCTGAAAAGCTACATAAAAACTGCAGGAGAAATCCTACACAAAAACAGTTACAAACAAGGCATTCAATCCTCATCAGATTTTGTTTTAGGTGCACCCAAAACAGGGCATTGGGAAACCATCTTTTTGGGTAAATTCCCTATAATGGGGCATTAGGCTTCTCCCTCCTACTTGCCCACCCCCATTAAAGAGATAGTATACTTAAAGACATACACACACTGATATGCCTCAAGGCCCCAGCTTGGTATCATAGTCTATGATACCAGTTGGTTTAGCAAAACTATAAGCTCTGAAGTCAGGAGAATGCCTCCCGTTTTCTCTAGATCTTGTTCCTCTGTTGTCTGGTAGAGAGCTTTATACATACACAGTGGGCACTGCCATCTGGTTTTAACCGATGGCTGACTGACAGGTGGGGCTGGCCTAGGAGAGAGCCCTCTTCCTGGGAACAGAGACCGGCAGGTGGCTCCTGGGCGAGAGAATGGGTGCTGGGTGTGTGTGTAGGTGTTTCTTTACAGGCGAGTACCCTCAAAATTCATCCAAAATACACACATTCTGACTATATTCCTAGGCAGGAGCCAGGCCCTGGGGCAATGCTGTCCCCTGCACTCCCATCCCCCTAATTGCCTCCAGAAGATGAGGACTGGGATTCACTAAGCTCAGGAAGAATCCAAAAACAGCCAGTTCCTGCTGGGAGAGAAACTGCAAGGCTGAGATGATCTCATTCCTTCTCCTTCTCCTTCTCCTTCTCCTTCTCCTCCTCCTTCTCCTCCTCCTCCTCCTCCTCCTCCTCCTCCTCCTCCTCCTCCTTCTCCTCCCTCCAGATCTCACAGAGGAAAGTGTGCATGAAACCACTGGACTTTCTCATCCGCTGGCGGAAGGATAGGCTTTGAGATTATCCCCAATATAGCAAATTCGAAGAGCAGATTTTAGGAGCTTCTTCCCCTTGGGCTCCCCCTGCTGGCTAATCAGGGCAATGAGGGGGAGGTAGAGGGTCAGCAGGGCAGCGAACATTCAGACCAGACACCAATGTAACAGTCCCTCGGCTCAGAACTCAGAACGTGAACTGAGGGCTTCTCACATTCTCGAGAAACACCTGGGGTGCTTCGGGGGCACAGGGATTTCAGGGCCAGGGCCCAGGTTCTGAGGGGATCGTGGCCATGCAAACGAGAAACGTGTTTAACAAGCACCCCAGGGATCTGACCCAGGCCACGCCAGCCCCGGAGTGGCTAGTCAGAGGCAGAGGACAATGCCACGGCCTCCATCTGTCACCACGCTAAGGGTTAATAACCCCTCCACAGGAGACTTCCCCGTGGCTGAGAGTCATTATCACCATCCGGTAAGACCCAGCTTGATTGCTTCAAACCGAGGCGGGATATTGAATAACCACAGCCAATTCAATGGCCCCGAAGTTTCCTCAGCAACCTGGGCTGCAGTTTAGGAAAACACGAAGGGAGAAGGTGGAAAATGATGAAAAGAAACAAACAAATGGATTTTAAATACTGGCCTGAAACAGCTACCATGGATGGCACCTGGTGAGGTGCCAGGACTCCATCTAGCGCCAGCAATCCCTGCAAAACCTCTATCTGCCATCCTACCTGTCTCTTCCCGATGGTGGAGGGGACAGGCAGGACCCACGGGAGCAGCACCCTGCCCCTGTACCTCCGGATGTGGGTGCAGAGAAGAGAAAGCTGGTCTGGGCCTGCTCCAACGTGGGACAGTGAGGAGGCAAAACAGCCTCGGTACGCACACCACCAGGCTCCGTTCCGTGCGGAGGTGGTCGGCCTGGCCGTGGCAATCACCTGTAGGGCTTAATGATTTTCTGTCCGTATCGCAGAGCTCCTTCCCAGTCCTGGGTGTACAGGCAGACGCCCATGGCTTGGTACATCATATGTAGCATGTACACGTTACTGTCCTCAAACACGGAGCTCATCTTCTCCTGGCTGAGCTCGCAGATCTCCAGCAGCTCGCTAGGGGGTGCTGTGGGGTCAAGGAAAGCACTGGCCGGCAGGCTGGGTCTGAGGAGTTGTTTTGTCCACTCCACCCGTCCCCGCTCCCTCTGAAAAGGTCCATTACAGAAAGCCACCCAAAAGTGAAAGGAATCACTTTTTTTTTTCTTGAAGAAACAAATGGGACAATCTGAATACCTCAACTGCTAAAATACAACAGAAGAACTTCAGCCACTGGCGACAGACCCTCCCTCAGATCAGCTGTACACAATGCTGATTAGACTCACCAACCTGCAGCTTCCTCGTTAAATGGAAACCCTCAAGGCTGAGCTGACGCATTTTTAAGGAAGAAGTCCCCACCCTGGGAAAGTTCTTTCTCACGCTGAGAAATGGACGTGCCTTTCTCCAATTTCCTTGCACTTGGACTGAGTGCTTCCCGTAGTATAAATCTCATGCCTTTTCAACTCCCAAGACAATGCTTTAGGAGTATGGGTTGTAGAGGCCAGCAGACCCGGGGCAGAATCCTGGGTCTGTTGGGGAGCTGCGTCCTTGGGGCAAATGATCTGTATCTAATACAGGGCGATGGCCAGGTGAGGCAACAGAAGCAAAACCTGTGCCCAAAGTAACGCGCCCCCAAAACGAGCGCCTTCAAAGACCGTTCTCTGTAGTTTTAGACAATGACATGTCCACCACGTTGAGCTCCTGGCCAAACTAGCCAAAGAGAAATAAGATCGACATTAGAAACGGATGTGGTTGACCCCAAGTCATGGGTGGTGCGTGAGCCTCCGCCCATTTACGGGGGGACAGTCTTCCTCCGACATCCAGCACCTTCTGCCCATCCCCTGCTCCCTCTCCCGCCTCTCCAGCACCTCCCGCAGGCACTCCCCGCAGCCGCCAAGGATATACTTGTAGTGCTTGGCCCTCCGGAACTCCTCGATGACGTTGCGCGCGTACCGGACCATGTCCCGGACGGCCTCGGCCTTGGGGGGGTCGTTGAGCTTCCGGATTTTCACCTTGGCCTTATCCTGAGGGGAACGTCCACAATGCAAGGTGCCACCTCCCCCCGGAAACCGTCCGGATGGGGGAACCTTGGGAACGGGGCATTCTCCCAGGCAGAGGGGCAGGCCTGCCCCACTCGAAAATTACCAAAGGATAAAGGGGATCAGGTGGTGGATCGAAGAGAAATGCAACACACCTTTACCTTTTTACAAAAAAACACACAAAACAAACAAACCAAAAACCCAAAATATTTTCTAGACAATCCTCACCTGGGCGGGACACCCAGAACACGTGTCCGGATATGTACAAAGCAAGAGACTAGAATGAGGGGCAGCGTCATGGACGGAATAACCGGGGCAAAGCAGAGACAACCCCACGCCCTGGGAACAGGCTGGGAGCCTGGAAGCTGTGCTCACGAGCTTTCCCCTCCCCCCGTCTCTTCTGTGCAGTCCTTTCTTGTCCAGGAAACACCTGGGCACAGGCGTCTCTCATTTGCGCGTTGCCATGGAAACAAGTGGTCATCGGGTTTGGACAGAGACCCGGTCTGACCGGATTCCCGCGGGCTGACTCAGGGAGGAGCACTGGCAGGGTCAGAAGCCCGGTCGGCGGAGACCCCCGGGTCACACGGGGCGTTGGTGTGGCAGAGGGGCCCGGACACACAGAGCCCGGGGACACCTCTGCCCCCGGCGTCCTCGGGGAGCTCACCTTGTCCTTGGTGGTGCACTCCCGGCACTCGCAGGTGAAGAAGTAAGAGTCTCGCAGCCGGTCGTTCCTGTCTTCTGTGGGATACAGGAGGTCAATGTAGCTGGTGAACACCTAAGGGGGTCCAGAAAGTGCCCGTTGCAGCCGGCCACAGGCCCCCTCGCGCCTCGGCCTTCCTGTGGCTCTGCCAGCCTCCGCGGAGGCGTCCTTGCGGGGACAGACCCAGAGGGCGGCTACGGTTCAGGATCCACGCACTTCAACGCCCAACCCCCCAGTGCCGTCCACCTGCTTTGGGACGGGGGGGAGGGGGAAAAAGGGGGTCTCTTCCCGCCTCCCACAGAGTCAAGGAGCCCCTAACTTGTCTCCTGGTCCTCGGGGCAAAGGCTCCCCTCACCCCCCAGGGACCGGCCCTGGGCTGTCCCTGCCTGGCCTCTCTCATTCCACAAGCTGACGGCTTTGCTGCATTATTGATGTTTCCCCTTCTCCTTCCTTATTGATGTTTTCCCTTCTCCTTCCATCTGCTGGCAAAGGAGCAAGGAGCTGGGCCCGGCAGGCTGGGACATGTGTACACAGGCGGGACGCAGCTTCTTGGACCCTGGTGTGCTGCGGCCCCGCCGGCTGGGCCCGACGGAGAACCTAGACAGGTCTCCCCTGGGGGCTCCTCGGGGCCTGCAGGCCTCACTTTCCCTACCGGGGTCTGTAACTGAGTCTGGAAGCATATGGAGGAGGCCGGTGGTGAACTGTGCTCTCCTCCCAGGGACGGGACTCGCTGCTCATCCCACACCATCAGGCAAATGTCTGACTGCACAGATGGATGGCACAGAGCCGTCCGCGTGCCAGGAACCTCGGGCACTGGCGGGCGGACAGGGGGCAACTGCAGGGGCTGCCAAGCTCTTTCCACCCCAGAGGGCAGTCATGGGGACCTCGGGACTCATTGATGCCCTGGGGAATGGACTCCTTTCCCCTGTGAAGGGCAAGTCGCCCCCATATCAGTGCCTTCCCTCAAAGACGGTGACTGCATTGCAGATCTGGAAGAGTCCAGGAGGGCAAACCAACAGGAGTGAGGCCTGTTGGCCTCAGTGGCAGGAGCCTCCTGCCTCATTTCTTCACAATGATTGAGGGTCACGTAGTGCAACAAGCAGAAGAGCCAGAAGATGGCGACAGAGGCCGCTCAGTGCCACTGCTCCTGTCTCCCCCTCAGCCCACAGGAGCACCTGGCTGGGTGATGTCCATTCTCACCGCCTCAACCCAGTGGTCGGCAAACTCATTAGTCCACAGAGCCAAATACCAATAGTACAATGGTTGAAATTTCTTTTGAGAATCAAATTTTTTAAACTTAAACTTCTTCTGACACCACTTCTTCAAATTAGACTGGCCCAGGCCGTGGTATTTTGTGGAAGAGCCACACTCAAGGGGCCAAAGAGCTGCATATGGCTCACAAGCCACAGTTTGCAGACCACCACTTTAACCAAAAAGATTACCTGCATGGTCTCCACAAGATATTCAGAAACCATGATACCGCGACCCCAAGCTCGATACCCTCGTCATGATGAATTTAGCAAAGAACACCTAGATTCAGCTCTGGGTTAGCTGACAGCTGCCGGGAAGCCAAGGCCTTCATCGTTCAGCACACTGATCACTGCGTTTCACATTTAAAAACCCACACATGCTCCTTAAAGTGTGAAAGATTGTTAAACTAAAGTCTAACCCAAATTGGGTCATCATAATCCCTAATAACTGATTTGTTTCATTTTTGTGTCACGTACATCAGGACAGATAGCCCGAGCAGTGGCCAAGCGCCTGGTCCCTGTCACGCCCCACAGGAAGGCGGGAGCTGCGGGTGCCTTCGGCTGAACTGCATCCCTAAAATGCCGGCTCTCCCAAGTTCAGGTGCGGACTTGAGAGGACCTGAAGGGCCGATATGTCATTTGGGGTTGTAACTTTTTAAAAAGTATTTTATCCTTACCTGAGGATATGTTTTTTGATTTTAGAGAGAGGGAAATGGAGAGAGAGAGAGAGAGAGAGAGAGAGAGCGAGCGCGATATGTGAGAGAGAAACATCCATCACTTGCCTCCTGTGTGTGTCCCAACCGACCTGGGATTGCACCCGAAACCTAATTTTGGTTTATGGGACCATTTTCCACCCAACTGAGCCACGTGGCTGGGGCTGGAGTTGTAACTCTTTTAGGTAACAATGCTTTTGGCCTTTTGGGGGCAGGAAAATAGGCCAAAATTCACTAATTTAAAAAAAGCTCCAACTGCAATGTTTGGTGGTGGGAACACAGACTCCACAGGCAACCCGGAGCTTCATTCTGCTCGCCTTGCCGCCTCCTGCCTCTGTAACTCTCCACGCGCCTCTGGGGGGGACTCCACTCACCGTGTTTCTTTCCTGTTTTCTCTTAGATGCAAACGGCAAGCACCAAGCGGGAGCCAAACGCATGGGACCCCAAGCCATAGGTCACAGCTCTGAACACTGACCCCGGCGGAACGGCCGGGACCCCTCCCAGCCCGTCTCCCGGAGAGTTCTCACCCTGCCTCTCCTCTGGAAACGGCTGTCTGCCCGCCCCCCAGCCGCCCACTCACCTCGTCTCCTGGGCCGATTTCCTGGACGGCTCTGACTTCCGCCAGGGTCCCCTTGTAGGTCACAATGACGTTGGGGCAGCAACTGTGATTCATCAACGCAACACTATCCATCAGAAGAGAGAACCAACATGCTCAATGAGGGTGGCAGACTAGTCAGAGGTGGGCAAACTCATTAGTCAACAGGGCCAACTATCAGTAGTATGACTGAAATTTCTTTGGAGAGCCAAATTTTTTAAACTTAAACTTCTTCTAATGCCACTTCTTCAAAATAGACTCGCCCAGGTATTTTGTGGAAGAGCCACGCTCAAGGGGCCAAAGAGCCGCATGTGGCTCTCGAGCCCCAGCTTGCCGACCACGGGTCTAGGTAATCCTTGGCTACTTCCTTGCGAAGCCGAGGTATTTTTGTCTTTTCAGGACATTAACAGACAAACCTAAGAGCTGGCCATCATATCCTAAGAGGTTTTTCTGCATTCATTGATCATCTTAAACTTCCACAGTATTGAAAAGTGAAATGGGTCATCCCAGTGACATTTAAAACCAGCCCAGTGGTTGAGCATTGACCTACGAATCAGGAGATCAGGGTTCAATTCTCAGTCAGAGCACATGCCTGGGTTATGGGCTTGGTTCCCAGTGGGGGTGTGGGATAGGGGGGAGGGGCATGCAGGAGGCAGCGGATCAATGATTCTCAATATGACTGTTCTATCTCTTTGTCTCCCTCTCCCTTTCTCTCTGAAATAAAAAAATATATATATTTTAAACACACACACACACACACACAAAATGTTTTTGTGACATCTAAGCCCGAAACAAAAAAAACACACAACACACAATGATAAAAAATTGGAAACAAAAACTCCTGGCTCACGACCCAGCACCAACAGTGAAGTGCATCTCGCTGTGCCCCGTTCGAGACAAGCGGAGGGTCATTTCCAAGCCGCTTTGATGTCAGTGGATTATCTCTAACGTGTTTTCTTCCGATGCTGAGACGTCGCCCCCGGGGAGGTGCCATCTGCCTAGGGGAGGGCCTGTGATCCTCCGAGAGACCCGGAGGAGCCGCGGGAGCCTCTGCCCCGCCGAGTCCTCGTCGGGGAAACTGGGACACGCCGCACCCGCTGCTCACAGCCCGCTTTTCAGGGGCGCGCGGACCGAGACTCGCCTGTGCGAGGGGCTTTGAGCTTTCTGATTATATCAAGGTCAAAGTTCTGAGAACAGAAATTTCTAAACTACAGGGGGAAAATGCTTGATCTCTGGAAATGCTGCCTTTGAAATCACAATGCCCAATTGATTTCTGTCCGAAGCGATTTTTCTCCCAATTAAAAGGGCCTGCAGAAACCCGGGGCACGTGTGGGCATGGGCATCCATATGTCCCATGGCTCTGGGGGCCACTGGCCTGACCCTCAGCCACCAAAAGCTTTCTCCCGTTTGCCCCAGGAATACAAAAAAAGCAGAGAGGATGGGCTGCCCCGGGCTTGCCGTGTAGGGGTGTGTGTGGGGGGGGGGGGGTAGCCCCCTCCAGTGACAGGCGCTGAGGGGTCTGAGTGAAGTCGGTGGTGGCCTTGAGCCTGGGAGGGCATGTAGCACCCCTCTCCCTGCAAGTGGTGCCTCGGAAACCCCGTAAGCACATGCCATGGAAAAGCAGAGCCCTAGAACCATCCTGCAGGAGACGTATGAAGTTTTCCATTTCAAAACAGACCCCTCGGTACCCTTTGAAGGAAGGTGGTGGGGGAATGCTAAGGACAACAACTTAGAACAACTCCCGCTCCGGCATCATCATTTTCCTGGCAATCACGGAAAAGGGAGAAACCTCCGACAGTACTCCTTGGCGCCTGCTTTCAGTCTGACCTTAGAGGCTCGGCAGAGCCATCGAGCTCATTCCAGGCCTAAAGGGGTCCACACCAGCCCCCTGAGGAGGGTCTCATGGCCTTTCTCCTTTCCTCTTCCTTTTCCCAAGGGCAAAATGTCCACAAGAGCTTCTTCCCCAAACACTTCGTCCCTCACTATTGGAGTTCAAACCACAGAGGACACCCTGGTGGCCCCAGGAACCGTATTATCAGGGGGATAAACGCTTTGTTCGCCTGGGAGCCGTGAGCCTGTATCCCTGAGGCCTGCAGGATGCACAGAGCTGGGTGACGCCAGGCAGACACCCCAGGAGCTCACATGTCATCCATGCTAAGGCGTGGGGGTCAAGGTTTCCTGCAATGGCTCTGATCTAAAGCCAGAGGCCCCTGTAGTGAGCACTAAGCAGCGTCACTGTAGATGAAATAATCTGCAACGTGGGTTAACTCAGACAGGGATGCAGGAAGGCTCCTGGCGCCTGCTGGGAAGCCAGGGCTTGATTTCATGGGACTGGAGCATTTTTGGTGAAAATACTCATTCCATCAAAAAGACCGTGGCCAAGCCATGCTTGGCCATCCATGAACGCCAGGGTTACCGAGATCTCCACGTGGTGGCTGGCTAGCCAGCCTCTCTTGAGTAGTGAAGCATTCCTGAGGGAATCGAAACTCCGATAGTTCTCTGGCATCCCCACCCCCTCCCCAATCTCTGCTTTAGTTCACTCTCTCTGCTTTAGTTCACTCTCTCTCCAAGCTGCGCTGTGCCTGCACAGGCGTTTCTCAAGCAGGACAGATGGAGTAGCAGCTCGTACATTCTCCACGTCAGTCTGTGGCCAGTTGTTGGACGGAAATTAATGTGCAAGAAACCCGGAGATTTCCATAACCACGGATATGCAAAATAGCACGTTTCTCAGCAGGGCACACGATAAAAACGCTCTTTAATAACAGCTCTCTAGTAACAGGCCGGGCAGGACCTAACACGCAGCAGTTCTCTTAACAACTGCCGTCGGCTCCTCAAACGTAGGGGAAATACTCTGAAATCTGGCAGAATTAAAAAGGTGTCTTAATTCACTCAGAGTTCCATGTCTGTCACATGCAGTTAGGTAGATTATTATTATTTTTTAAAAAAATCAAATTAGTGTTAAATAAGTAAAAAGAAAAGAAGTCAAACTCAGCCTACTCGGGAAATATTGCTGATCCCAAATGAGACAGTTCTTCATCCTCAATGGTGAAGCCGTTGCAGTTAACCTGCAGTGAGAAAGGAGAAAGAAAGAAAACAAAATAACACGCACTCGATCTTCTTTCTGGATAGAAATCATTGCTTTCGTGTCTGACCTTTTAATTTCCGACCTTCTGTCCGGATAGAGATCACCGCTTTAATTTCTGACCTTTAATACACCAGGAAGATGTTCCGGTTTAGTGATTTTAAAACCTTCCTTTCGGCCAAGGTATCCTTTGTTCAAACAAAATTCGCAAAAGCGTAACGGTCAGGGGAAGTGCCCCTGGTCTAGCCTGCCCGTCCACCCACACGCAGTAGCCCAATGGCACAGACCACAGAGGCCCAAGGACTAACGTCAGCATATCTGCCAGGGAGTTCGTATTCTGGCATAGAGAGAGCTCTTTGAAAAGAAAAGCCCAGCCCTAACCAGTTTGGCTCAATGGATAGAGTGTCGGCCTTCGGACTGAAAGGTCCCAGGTTCGATTCCGGTCAAGGGCATGTACCTTGGTTGCGGGCACATCCCCAGTAAGGGGTGTGCAGGAGGCAGCTGATGGATGTTTCTCTCTCATCGATGTTTTTCTCTCTCTATCCCTCTTCTTTCCTCTCTGTAAAAAAACCAACTCAATAAAATATATTAAAAAAAAAACAAGTGCTGTCCCAGCCTCTCACCACGCTCTTGTCCTGCCTCTTGGCCCTCAGCCCCCTGAGCCTGTTCCTCTTTGGCTCATGGGAGGGTGGAAGGTAAGGCGCACTGGTGGCCGAAGGTGCCCACACTCCCTCCACAGCATGGAGGTGCGCTTTCATCCCTCGGAGCACAGGCATGGTTGGGAAATGTATTTTTGGTGTGCGGCCTTCATCTAGTCTACATGCTAATGATGAGGATAGCGTTAGCAAGGCTCTTACACTTGATTTGACTTGGGGAGGCAGGGGAGGACTGTGGCCCATGCATCTTTTTTAATTTTTTAATTTAATTTTATTGATTTTTTACAGAGAGGAAGGGAGAGAGATAGAGAGCTAGAAACATCGATGAGAGAGAAACATCGACCAGCTGCCTCTTGCACACCCCCTACCGGGGATGTGCCCGCAACCAATGTACATGCCCTTGACCAGAATTGAACCTGGGACCCTTCAGTCCGCAAACTGATGCTCTACCACTGAGCCAAACTGGTTTTGGCAACCCATGCGTCTTTCTTAACACCCAAGCTCACTTTTCATCTCCAGGGACATTTCAGAAGACAGGCAAATTGCTGTGCAATTTGGCTTAAACACCATCACCGCCATGTCCCCGGATGCTGTTCCCCTCACCTGTGCAAAGAGTGCCACCAGGCTCTCGTTGTCGGGAAACTCGAGGTGCTTGGAGTAGAAGTGATGGAGAGCAGAAATGTCACTCTGAATCAATTCCTTCTTCTCATTGTCTAATTTATCCAAATCTGTGGGAAAGCACACCGCGACTCAGCATGGAGAAAGCTGGGTTTCCAGCTGCACCTTTTCTTACTGTCAATGGCATGGAGGAGACCGGAATTGTACGGGGAGCACCCAAAATACTCCTCCTCATCACTCAGTCTAACTGATGAACCCGAGGGGAATAAAAGCTGGTATTCCTTCTCTTCCTCTGACACCTGACCTCTCTCAGGACGTGACATTTCAACTGACCATTGGCCACGGGGCCAAGGATGCATGGCTGTAACCGATAACCAGCCCCAGCCCATTCGGGGCCCCCAGTCGGCCCTGGCATTGGTGTTATGATCAAGAAGCCAGAGAGCTGCCCCCATTTAAAGAGTTTCAGTAAAGACATAGGCTGTTTTCAGGACTGCAACTCAGCAAAGACCCAAAAGGAATCAGCAGGCCGGGAGAGCCTGCAGAGATGGCTGGGAACGCAATAACTCATCCCAGAGATTCCTATTTCCCATTAATTACTCTCCAATAACCCTGTCGACTCAGGAAAACAAGTATGTCATTTTTCAAAACAGCGTGTAAGTCAAAGTAAAAGCTATTCAAGATGCGATCCCCACCCAAACCAAGATGAGCTGTCACCCCCCGCCTTCGGTCCCACCTCATCCATGATAAAAGTGGAGAGAAAGTAACTCGGCCGCCGCCAGTCCCACAGACACTTACGCGATTCAAACTCCTTCACGGCTAAGAGTTTCTCTGAAGGTGTTCTCTCCGGGTGGCTTTTCTAGTAATCGGGGAAGAAATCACACAGAAACCGATTTTTAACAACCAGGGCAAAAGGTGCTTTCACTTTTAACATCCACATGAAAGAAAAGCAACAATTCTCAATGAAGTGACCCAAGAATCCACCATTGGGAGTGTTTGCCCAACGTTCAAATCCAAGAATCTTTAAGTGGTTTGTGACGTGTGTATATATGTGTGTGTGTGTGTGTGTGTGTGTGTGTGTGTGTGTAAGCATCTGCCGTGTATGTGTGTGTGTGTGTGTGTGTGTGTGTGTGTTTAAGCATCTGCTGTATTCCTAACACCCCGCTAATGCTATGCACACAGTAGGCTCATAAAATTCTTGTTATAGGAAAGAACAGCGGCTGAAAAACAACTTTTTAGGGCCCTGGCTTAAAAGGCCCCGAGCCAACAGATGAGCCGTCATCCTATTGATTATGTCTCCTTCTGAAAAGGAACAAAATCAAGCCCCCCATCCATTTTGCACTTTCTTTAAGCATACGCTAACATGATCTCAGATTCCGCGTTTCAAAAAGAACACTCCGGGTTGTGTCTGTGAGCCCGGATTCGCTTGAAAACGCGTGGCGGCCTTTGTTCCGGGCGTCCCCAGAGGAGCCGACAATAGTAAACCCGCCAGGCTTTGAGAACATGAATAAACTCGGTGTTGACAAGAGTTCAAAAGCGGGGCTCCGGAGCTGGCCCGAGGCGTGTCTTTGTAATCTGGCCATTCAATGTGGGCATACAGGTGGTCTCGCAGGGCGCGCTCACCTCCCTAGTTAACATGTTAAGCTTCTCCCCGGTAGCTGGGCAGCCCGGCTCCCCTAATCCTTTGCAAGCCACTAGAATACAAATGGCGTTTTTTTTTTTAATCATCTGGGTCCTGCAGGGATGAAAAGGTGGCCAGGTAGCTTTTCCTTGAAGAGACTGTTAGGGGCCGCAGTCATTACAATGGGAGTTGAAGGAAATGGGTCTAGATGCGTCGCAGCGTTCGGGCGACCCTCTTAGCATAAAAGCATCTCAATGGTTCTTGTTGGGAAGCAGGGAATCTTCCATTCACGGGGCGCATTTCTTAAGATGGGTGGCTCGTGTTACCCTGGGAAAGCTTTTCATTCAGGAAAGCACGCCAGCTCCTTCTGGGTTCTTAAACACGACTCTATAAATAATATCATTGGGGGGGGGGGGAGCGGCCCATGGGGGCAGCTTGGTCACTCAACTCTCCCAGGATGCCTGCATAGCTAACGGGATGGCTTATTTACCCTGACACCTCACCGAGGCCACACGGGTGTCCCCCTGCCCTTTCCTTCTGAGCAGGTACCTGCATATATTTAAGAAACACTGTATAGTAAGGATCTAAAGGTCAACCTCCTCCAGGGAAAGCAATCCTGATTTCTCCGGCTCCCTCCGTTACCCCGAGCCGGTGCCCTGGCATTTCAGCGAGCACCTGACCCCGGCTGACCATAACGGAGCGGTGAGCTCAGAGTTCGGAAATGATCCACTTCTGTTTACGTGGCCCAGAATCCCAGCTTAAGGCTGGGGACGGGATGGTGCTAATCATTGTGATCCCATTTGGCTCAGATAAAAAAAAAAAAATGCCAAGTTTTAAAACTGGGGAGGGAGATGGTGGCATAAAGAAGTTTCAGCATGCAAGAATGACAGTACAGGTTCTGGCTCCATCTGGTTATTAGCCCATGAGTAAGAGGTTCCAGTTTTCACCAAAAACAACCACGGGAGAACATTCCAGCTTGTGCATGGGCCAATCCGTGGACATAAACGCCTGCAAGCCCCGCGTGGCCGATGACACTTTGCCCTCCCCCCCCCCTTTTTTTTTCCTTGACCCCTTGGAGCCCAGGCATCTCCCTGGCAGGCGGTCAGTGAGTACTGAGCAGACCAGGGGAGAGCCGCCCGTCCTGGAGGCATCCTGGGAGCAAACTGCTGTCTGGTCACACAGAGCGTGTCTTTCCTCCCTCCTTTCTCTTACCCTCTGCCCTTTGCCTTGGTTTCTACCTTTCCACTCGGTTTCCTCTTCTCAATTGCATATGCCTTCCTGCCTGTGCCATCCCACCCCTCACCTGCCTAGACGTGGGCAGGGAAGGAGATGAGAAGAACAGAACACAGTACAGGAGGGGGGCATGGGGTGCCCTCTCTGAGTTATAAAAAAGGGCTGGTTCCCTACGATGTGCTCATTCTTCTGTTCAATCGGGTGTTCATGCCTTGAAAAGCCGTATTTTTCCAAGTAATCCTATCTCATTAAAAAAAAAAAAAAAAAAAAAAAAAAAAAAAAAAAAAAAAAAAAGCTTGAATTTCACAGCCCTGGATAAGCAACATGTTCCCTGCCATGTTCCCGGCCCAGGGTAATAATCACCGTCCTGGTTGCCTAGGGCACGTGACAAACCAGCCTCCACCTGGGGTTGTGTTCCCAGCCCTGCCTGTGTGGAGGCAACGGGAAACAGGCCCAAGGATGAGCAACCAGAGATGATCACACAGGTCAGTTCCTCACCTCTCTGACCTTTAAAAAAAAAAAAAAAATGCAATGAAATGCACTCACACATTATCCCGCATCCTCACCTGTTTGGCCAGGATCCTCGCCGTGAGCCTTACGGTCTCGGAGGGGTTCCAGTTTTCCCCGAAAACAACCATGGCACAACATTCCAGCTTGTGCATGGGCCAGTCTTCTTTCTGGGAAGGTCAAAACATGGGGTTCAGCGCACATGTCCCGGAATGGAGTTCCAGCGGGAGGATGCGACAAGTCCTCCCGGCTAAGGTCAAGGGAAACATGTTTCCTTTTGGAAAACACCACGAGGCTCACAGCAGCCGGAGATGAAAACATCCTTTAAGGTGCACACGGTCCCATAACCCTGACAGGGGACCAGCCAAGGCTGACTGGATGGGAACATGGCTCTGTGCCTCTTCATGGGCATCTTGTGTCTTTCTGCAGTCCCTCACCGCTCCAGGCCCCACACGCACCTGGCCTTCTCTGGTCATAGACTGTGATGGGGGGTATTTAGACATAAGGCTTCCTGCAGATTCAGCGGAAAAAATGGGAGACTGTACTCCTTTCTCTCAAGAGTTTTGTGCCCCAGGTGGAGGGTGAAGGATACACGCTCAGTACGGGAAGGGGAGGGGTGATGCCATGGAGTCCAGGAAGCTGAGGGGGGACGGGACACGAGGTGCTGTGGGCCCATGGAAGAGGGTAAGGAGTGGGGAGGAAGGGATTGTGACAGCTGGTGACACGGCTAGTGTGGGATGGCCGAGAACTGACCAGACACCATGGAGGTCATGGCTAGCTGAAAAACAAACAGGTGTGACAGCGTGGAGTACCTACTGGCTGCTGGTAGTGTGAGAGAGAGAGAGAGAGAGAAAGAGAGAAGAAGAAGGAGGAGGAAGAGGAGGAGGAGGAAGAGGAGGAGGAGGAGGAGGAGGAACTGGGAGAAATGGGGTGGAGGCTTGGAAGGGTGAAGGGTGGGGGATCATTTTGTATTTGGGAAATGTCAGAGCACTGGATACTGATGGGGTCGCCACGCACTCTCCCTCGGTGGCACCAGGTACTGTCCGTTCTTCCCTCGGCCTTCCCTCCTCAGGAAAAGGCAGCCCATTCTCAGATGCTGGGGCCAGAAGCCCGAAGGCCATCTTGCCCCCTCACGGGCACGCTCCTCTCGGCAAGTCCGTCACAGGGCCTTCAGAGGACGCCCAGAGCCCGATCGCTTCTCACTACCCCCTCCCAGCCCAACCCAGCCCTGCCGCCTCTCACGGTGACGACTGCCCTTGCCTTCGATCCCCCTTTGACTCCTGCGGCCGGGAGGCCTGGCTCTGCCTGCCGACCCCCACCACCTGTGATCCACAGGGCAGCCAGAGTCATCGGCCTGTTACACAAAATCCGACCATGCCGCCTCTCAGCCTGGAGCCTCCTGCTGGCTTCTCCTCCAGAGCAAAAGGCAGAGCCTCAGGTGACCTGTGAGGACACACATGAAGCCAGGAGTCACTCCGCCTGGCGCCTGACCACGAGGGCCACGCACGCTCCCTCTTGTCCCTGAACAAACCAAGCTCCTGCCTCAGGGCCTGTGGCCCCTGCTGGATTTCCTGGCTGGAACTTCCTCCTCAATACCCACACCACCCTTCCCTCGCTCCTCCGTGCCTCTGCTCCCATAGCCTTTTCAGGACACACGGATAGATACCCTTCCCCAAACAGCACTTTCCGCATCTTTATGTTTCTCCCTAGTGTCTCTCACCACCTGATGTATTATTTACACATTCACTAGGTTTCTGGCTTAGTGGCCCCTCCACCCCATTACAACAAAGTAACTCCATCTGTTTGGTTCCCACCTGTCACCCCAGAGCTTAGAACAGTGCTTGGCTTTTCCAAGGCCCTCCACCAAGTGGCCGGATGAATGAAGATGACTCCCCACCCCTTCCTTCCCTCCTTCCCTTCACCCCGTTCCAAGGAGGAAGGACACGGTGTCACTTGGTGATTGAATGCTGTGTGTGACACAGACCCTTGGCCCCGGTGCTGCGCCAAGACGTTCTGCAGAGTTAAATAACGCCGCCAAATATAACCGAGGGCGGGGAGAGGGAGGAATGGCGAGGTCTGCACCGGGGAGAAGGGGATCTGCGTTTAGTCAGAGCCTAAAATAAGAGCGCGGTGCCACGAGGTAGGGGGCAGGTGGGCCCAGATCCCTGCAGGCAGGCAAGCCAGCGCCCTCCCCAGATGCCAAGCGAAGAGAGAAAGATAAAGAGCGGGCTCCCAGGCCTCGGGATGGTGATGAGAACGGGTGCCAGAGGCAGCGATTGACCACTGGGAACGGGGTCCACTCTGATCCCAGGAGCCCTAACAAAAGGCCACGGCAGGGCCTGGGGGAGACTGGCTTTCTGAACTGTGGACGGTGCCTCTGGTGGTTAATGACAACGAGCTCCCAGGAGAAAGAAGTTTAATATTGACATTTGTTCATATGAGTTGTTCAATGTTTATTCATATACTTGGTGCCACATGAATGTGAATAGAAATAGCACGTAATGTTGACACTTAACTGACGTAAATGCCCTCAAAGGGAAGCGAGCCCGCCCACAACGGGCGCTCTGGGGGGAGAGAGCCGAGGGCGGTCAGGTAGGACGCTGGTTGGGAGGTTGGGAAACCTAAATTCTTCTTCTTCTTCTTTTTTTTTTTTAATATAATTTATTCATTTCAGAGAGGAAGGGAGAGGGAGAAAGATAGAAACAGCAATGATGAGAGAGAATCATAGGTCGGCTGCCTCCTGTATGCCCCCTACTGGGGATCGAGCCAGCCATTGGGGCATGTGCCCTTGACCAAGAATCAAACTGTGTGTGACCTCCTGGTTCATAGGTCGAGGCTCAACCACTGAGCCACACGGCCGGACTGAAGCCTGCATTCTTATGCCCACTCTACAGAGAAGCAGCAGCATGATGCCAGACAGGCCTCTTAATCCCTCTGCGACCGTAGCCTTGGCCGTAAATAACACGATCCTTAAGTTACTTAGCAGGTCCAGAAGCCTGAGTCTACGATTTTACACCTTCCAACAGTGCTAATCAGGGACAAAGCTTGAGGCCTTCCAAAGATAAGCAGGCATTCATGTCACCAGAAAGGGACGTGTGAGGGTCCAACCAGCTCATCCGCAGAAGCACTCAGGACAGTGCCTGGTACACAGTGCCCTCATGGCGGGGTAAGTGTTCATTTATGGGTTCGTTCGTTCATTCATTCATTCATTCATTCAATTCATTCATTCATTCATTCATTCAATGAGCTCTGCAACTGACCCTACAGAGTGACTGAGCAGTATGGGAGAAGATAGGAGGGATGGGAGAAGAAGTTTTTGACTTTATTTGTGCCTTTATCGGAAAACCAGATAAAAGCCAGAGCACAGTAACGGGATACCATCTCACACAGCAGCTACAGCAGAGAGATGGCCTGCCTCCAGGGAGTGCAGGATCACGTAAGTTTCATCCAGGGTCATCAATCAGAATCATAACGTATTCACTTTCTGTAGGAAGGTGATGACATTATCTTAGAGAAGCTGGTAGAGGCAAGTTGCCCTCGTTTTGCACATATGATATCATAAACAATCAGACTGGACAAAACCGGGGGGAAATTAGGCTAGCCTTTTACTTATTTGTATTTATTTATGTCTTAGCAGCAACTATACAAAATAGTTTTGCAACCCTTTGTGTTTTTTTAGAATGTTTTTGGTCAGTTTCTCTAAAACCTCTTATCCTTATTTTTTTCCCTTCTAAATTCAAGCTATTACTCCTGCCCTGATTGCAATCTTCATAAAAATCTTTATGTAAACTTGGATCCCATTTTCCAGAAAAAAAATAATATACAGTAAAAATACGTGCACAGGAAGGATTCCAAAAGGCGTATACCAAAGCATCACTAGTGATTTTCTCTGGAAAGGTAAGGTTATAGATGCTCTTTCTGAGCTTTGAGACTGGACTTCCCGAGTTTCCTACAGGAAGCACAGATTACCAGCGCCCTCAACTCAAACAAGCCCATCCACATAAAAGTAAGACACAGGCTCTTTCTGTGGATTTGTAACTCCTCTTTCATTCTGAGCCAACGTGCCACCTGCTCCACACGGCTTACCTTTCTGTGCATGGACACAAGTGCTTAAAGAGGCAGAAAGAGTTGCTCCACTGTCTCGCGGTGAGCCAGCATTTCCAAGCCCAGAAGAATGACTGCTCAGTCAGCCAGTTTTCTGCAGAGCAGAGGATGCCCTGTCTTCCTGGCTCAGGAGACCCCGTTTTTACCGCCAAGTCCCCCTCTCCAACTCTTGCATCTGGTGTCTCTCTAGTTCTCATGGCGCCTTCAAAACAGACACAGGCCGCTTGTACGCACATGTATGCGCTTTCCTGCAATGTGGACTAGTGAGCAAACGTCACACACTTTCCATTCCCTTCGAGAGCAAACGGAAGCAGGACCATCTCACGGGGAGGTGACCCACGCTGCTGAATCCTCACCCTGAGGACACATGCTCTGAAAAGAGTGACTGCAGGGATGCACTCGGCCACTCAGACACAGACTGTCCCCGTGTAACACATGTAGAAAAGGTTTCTATCATTTAAAAACAAGTGGCCCAGTTGACGATGCTTCCTATGTCTGTGAGACCAAAGGGAACGTAACCAAGATGGAACCCATGACTCGGGCCCATCCACTAATCACCCAGAACCACGACAGGCCATGTGAGCATGTCTGATGCATTTTCTACACGTCAGAGTTTTTTGTCCCAGTTGACAAACATCAAGGACTTTCTCACATCTTTATTCACATGCTCCTCACATGTGCTTTTTAAAAATTTTCTTATCTAGGCCAGGGCATGCTCCTTCCTACTTTCAAAAGCACTCATAACCGCATCACCTCTATGTATACAACACAAACAGGGTTTGTTTTTTTTTGTTTTTTTTTCCCCCTGCTTGTTAACGTTAAGAAATAACAACCCCAAAAAGTTCTACATCCCAATGACTCCTCTAAAACCACCGGCTTTCTAAAGCAAGTCTCTTAAACATGTCATGGTGCTGTTTAATGACATCTGAGTGAGGGAAGACTACACTGAGCTTTCCAGGCATATTTATAAAAACAAATGTCGTTCATGAAAACACACAGGTTACAACACAAGCCTAACTGAAAAGCAGGTTCTGTTTCTTTCGCATTTCCCCCCATTACCCTTTTATGCTTCATCCATTAAAACCTTTCCTCTGGCAGGGTCACCCTGAGTCAAGTGATGGAAGAGGAGAAAGTCAATGGGGCAGGATACAGCCAAACTGTAGAAAATACAGCAAAATCCGAACACGCTGAGGTTACAGAGAAGGGTCCGGGGGGAATGCACACATCCATGAAAAGCTCACTTCCATTTCTGTAACTCGTTCCCATGGTGTCTTTTTCCCTAGGGCAGTGGTCGGCAAACTCATTAGTCAACAGAGCCAAATATCAAAGGTACAACCATTAAAATTTCTTTTGAGAGCCAAAGTGTTTAAACTTAAACTTCTTCTAACGCCACCTCTTCCAAATAGACTCGCCCAGGCCGTGGTATTTTGTGGAACAGCCACACTCAAGGGGCCAAAGAGCCCCGTGTGGCTCTGGAGCCGCAGTTTGCAGACCATAGCACTAGGGGGCCAACAGCATTCCCACACAGGGGGAAGTGGCGAAGAACCTCCTCTAGCCCTTGGAATGCACTGGCAGGTCATTCAACCAGTATGGGCGTTGTTTCATCTCCTAGGGCTGAACCTGATCACCTTCATTCCAACCTCACCCTCCGTTGTGTGAAGGTGACCCCCTGAGGCCTGCTGGCGGGTGGGGCCCACCTGGGAAGGAGGCCCAGGGATGGTGAGGCTTTCTCAGGTGGAGAATCACTCCATTACCTTCCTCCTCCTGTTGGAGCCACCTTCATTCCGGCACCAGAGCCCCTATGTAGATCCCATCCAAACATTCCCGCAGGCAGAATCCCGAGGACATTTCTATCCGGAGCAAATGCCTCCGGTTCCTCCCTAAGCCCATAGGACGCTCTTGCACTACCTGTTACTAAAGGCCTGGGACAACCTTTCTCATTGTAACGCTCTGCCCTGCACCTACTTAGCTCTTCAGAACTAAAGAATGGAAAGCCAACCTAACCGGTTTGGCTCAGTGGATAGAGCATCAGCCTGTGGACTAAAAGGTCTCAGGTTTGATTCTGGTCAGGGCCATGTACCCAGTAGGGGGTGTGCAGGAGGCAGCTGATTGATGTTACTCTCTCATCGATGTTTCTAACTCTCTATCCCTCTCCCTTCTCTCTGTAAAAAAATCAATAAAATATATTGAGAGAAAAAAAAAAAAAAAAAGAATGGAAAGCCATGGGCGTCGGCCTCCTCCTTCAACCAGAGGAGGCAGATGAAAGAAAAGGGAAAGGAACAGGTCAGGCCCAGCCTGTCACCTCTGGAAACCGGGGGCTTCAGGAGCGGGGTTATCCCTGATCATCGAGGCGGGCCCTCTGGCCCCCAGATTCCTAGCAGACGCATAGGAAAAGTGACTTGGAGATGGGCTCCCGGCTGTGGGTGCACGGCCCAGGAACTGGGCAAGCAGCGGGAACGCTCCACACATGGCAAGGCTGAACGCAGTGAGCTGCCTAGGCCTAAGGCTTTGAACATGGCTTACAGTCACAGGACTGCATCCTTCATCCCGGGCTCCCTGCTGCCCAGGCAGGCTCTTCAGGATTTAACCAGCTGTGCAATTTGACTGCAGAAAGCCAGTGCAGAGACCGTCAGGCTGCCTGCTGTGAAGTCGTAAACAGGCCCTCGGGTTGGTGTGTTTGGTTCATGTGAACCCCACCCCCTCCCCCGAGAGAGGGCACTCCCGACTGTGTGCTCACAAATGGGGTTCTGAGTCTGCAGATCTGGGAGACTAGGTCCTGAAGGCAGGAGAACCCGCCGAGCCACCTTAAAACCCCAACATGGCCCTGGCCGGTTTGGCTCAGTGGATAGAGTGTTGGCCTGTGGACTGAAGGGTCTCAGGTTCAATTCTGGTCAAGAGCATGTGCCTTGGTTATGGGCATATCCCCTGGGGCGGGGGGCATATCCCCTGGGGAGGGGGTGTGTGTGCAGGAGGCAGCTGATGGATGTTTCTCTCTCATCAATGTTTCTGACTCTCTATCCTTCTCCCTTCCTCTCTGTAAAAAATCAATAAAATATATTTTTAAAAAACAACAACAAAAAACAAACCTCAACGTGGACCATAATGATTCATTAAAATAATGCCACCTCGTGAGGCTGACAGGACAGTAGCTTATGCTTCAGACGCCCAGAGTTGACTCAGCACCTCACCCATCCCGATGTTCCCTATTAATGCCGCGTTCACAGGTATTCAGAGACGTGAAGACTCGTTTTATAATAAGCATCGCTCACACAGTGCACACCATTAGTGGTCTCAAGGTCTCAGGAACCATCCACTCTTTTAGGTTAAAAAAACAAACAAAACACAACAAGCCCCTTAAATCTAAAGTATGCTGTATGCCTTATTCTTAGCATAAGCCTGAGCTTCAGTCCCGCCTGAATTATTATAACATTATTTTTTCATAAGCCCTTGCCCCTGGACACAGTTGTCAGTTGAGAGAGATTTCATATCTATCACCTGGCCTGGGCAATTCACGACAACGGGCGCCCCTGTCCTTGTTTACACTGGAAGACACTGAGGTGGAGGGAGGTCCCTGGAATGGCCAAGTTCACAGAGCTAGCAGGCTGCAGAGCTGGGATCCCGGCCTCCTGCTAGTCTGGGTCATATTCCCTGAACTGCGTGTGATTTACTACCTGCTTCTCTGGAGACGCAGAATGTAATGTTATATTTTTCTAGGCTTGTTTAAGTTAAATATAGAAACAGCTAACTTATCGGGCCTGGCCCACATCACAGAAGTCCCAGGGCTCACTGATATCTCCAGCCCCCAGCCATCTAACCACGAAACGTTCTAGCCACAACTGGTGGGAGCAACGTATGGTCAGTCTCTCCTCTTCGAGAGAAGGCCCACTCCCCGGAAACTCAGCCACGGCCGTGTACATTCTCACTGTCGCAAAGGCGGGCCGCCCTGGAGACGCAGAGAGGGGACTGTGCCTGTGGCCTCTGGTGCCAATGGCACAGCCCGGGTCTCCTTCTGGTAGGAGCCCACCGTGGCTGGAGCGCCTCGGTCAGATGACATAAAGGCCCATGGCTAACTATCGCTCTTTGGGGACCTTCAGAGGCAGCAGCACAGGGACAGGAGGAGGAAACAAATGGAATAGAGGGTGATTAAAAGTAGATGGGGGGTGAGGGGCGGGATGTGAATGACACCACGTCACTCCATCAGTGGGAGCCACTGTTTAAGAGCACAGCATGTCCCAGGGTGTGTTTTTTAGGTTTGGATTGAAAAAATTGACTGGGGAGCTCTAGCCAGTTTGGCTCCGTGGATCGAGCGTCGGCCTGTGAACTGAAAGGTCCTGGGTTCGATTCCAGTCAAGGGCATGTGCCTTGGTTGCAGGTTCAGTCCCCAGCCCTGGTCGGGGGCATGTGGAAGGAAAACAATCGATGTTTTTCTCACTCTGTCTCTCCCCCAAAACCCCCACCCTGCAAAGAGCCCACAAGACTTCCTCCAACCTGAGTCTCAGGTCTCTTGATACTTCTCCATCAAACCAGATGCCCGTGGTCTGCACGCAGCCAGCCTCCTGAACCCGCCCAGCCCCAGTCCCCGTGCCAGTCCGGAGCAGCCACCCTCCAGCTGTCTGTACAAAGGCCGTGCCAGGGGCTCACCTAAGTCTAGCTGGACTCAGGCTGGGTTCAAACAGCCCAGGGGTGTGGCCTGCTAGAAGGACGTGAACATTTTAAAGACAGCACTTGAGCATTTCTCATCTGTCATCTGAGAATATTCCATCCGCTGCTGGTGGCCTTGGGGGCAAATGGTCAAACACCTGCCTGTGCCCCACATGGCTCTCCCTGTGTCTCTCCCACTTCTCCTGCTCCCTTTTCCTGGTCCTATAAATGGCGCCCATAGGTGACTGTCCGGGTCCCGGGGTCAGCTCACAGGGGTATCCAGCCACATCCCACACCACCACGCGGCTTTCCAGCTCCGGCTGCAGGAGGGCGCTGGGGGAGGCTTGTGACAAGTCAGAGAAGGATGTTGGGGGTCCCCGATGTTTCCGGAAATAAGGCCCTCCCTGCCAGGCGGCCCCGCACCTACCTGACACTCCACATTGCAGTAAAATGCCTGCTTGCATCTTCCACATTTGGACAATCCTTCTTTCCTTAAAAAACAGAAAGGGCACGGTAGTGGCGAGAGGCACAGACACGCGAAGCCGCATATTGATTTATCATGCAATAATCCCAGCCATCTGGCCGGGAAGCAGAGCCAAGAGTCCCCATACCTTCCTCCCCAACACCCTCCCCCCCCCCCCAGATCAGTGGCGTTTTTTCCCAGAGGAGGTTTTGACCAGATTCAGTCCTTGAGGAGGAGCGAGCAGGTTCAAGAGCATGTGCTCCGACATATACCATCCCCGGCAGCGTGAAGGGCACTTTCCGGGGAGCGGGAGGCCATGCTCCCTGCTCGTGGGACCCCGCCGCTGCCCCCATCACCTGCCCTAGGACTCAGGAGTCTGGGCAACTCAAAGGCTGTTAGGCCCCAGTTTCCTCAGCTGCTGCCGAGGGACAGACATAGGCCGTGGGGGAGGTCTGACATCCTGAAGATGGAGGCTTGGGACACACAGGAAACCTCCGAGTGAGTGACAGCTTTATTGTTGTTTTTATAGCAAAGGTGGAGATTTAGTGAAGAATAAGTACAGATTCCCACAGAATGGACTCCCACACAGGGAGGGGGAAGGGTCCCTGGGACAGCTTTCTTGTTTAGGAGACGCTGGGGATGCAGGACATGAGACTGCCTGTGTCAATAATCCAAAGGTCCAGAAGGGGAGGCTGGAAAACAATGCAACCCAGCAAGCGGGGGCATATCCTTGAGGACAGCGGGACTGGCTGGGATTGGTCCCTACGGCACCTCGTCAGCAGGCTCCTGAGCAGTTCTCCTGCCTCTTCCCAATTTGGCCAACGCTCCTTGTGCACTGGGGTCCTAGCTGCTTCCCAGGAAGGACAGGGACACGGGAGCTTTCCAGCTGCTGCGTGTGTAGCAGTTGATGAGCATTAGATAAGCCAAAGCTTTTTTTTTTTAAACTAATATATTTTATTGATTTTTTTAAAGAGAGGAAGGGAGAAGGACAGAGAGTTAGAAATGTTGATGAGAGAGAAACATCCATCAGCTGACTCCTGCACACCCCCCTACCCCCCACGGATGTGCCCACAACCAAGGTACTACGTGTCCTTGATCGGAATCGAACCTGGGACCTTTCAGTCTGCAGGCCAATGCTCTATCCATTGAGCCAAACTGGTCAGGGCAAGCCAAAAAACTGTGAAGCTACTGAATTAAACCCCACACGGACAGAACTCCGAAACAATTGTCTGGAGGTGGGGACCCCCAGATGGTTTTCATCAGACCACTGTCTGTAAAGCACACTGATTCGCACGCTTGGTGCTGCAGCCGGTTTGCTAGCCCGAAAACATGCCAGCACCTGAGGGCAGCACCTCATCGCCACCCTCCTCCCCTCGCCAGCCCGCTGAGCCCGGGTTCTAGAATGTGCATAATCGCGCTGCAGAAGCAGTCAGTGGCAGTCACCACACAGCTCCCACAGGATCTGGGGCAGGCGCCCCACGGTTGGAAGGAAGCAGGCTGTCCTGCCGTTTTCATGACAGCACTTGGCTTCCCGGGAGCCGCCTGCAGCGCGGGTGGGAGAAAAGCACATCTTGCCGCTGAGGCATAAATAAATGTTCCGAGTTTGCCCATCCACCGGCTCACCAGGGAACCCGCGTGTTCAGCCCAGTGTATCCTCTGGCCTGAAATGCCCCCGATGTTGTGTCTCAAGGGCTCCGTACTCTGACTTCGCACTTTGGAAGATGAAATAAATAAGATATGAGGTCTGAGCCATCTTGCATTTTTTTTTTTTTTTTTTTTAATCTAGGGAAAGAGGACACAAGTGACATGGAAGCAAGGGCTCAGTGCTGTGGGCCTTGAAGAAGTGCCAGGGGGAGGGAGAGCAAAGATGGGCAAAGCCAGGGAGGGGACTTCCGAAATCCTTTCCAAAAAGAAGTGTTTGCAAATGCATCCTGGGTGGGGAGATGCCACAGATCCTCCTGGCACAGGAGGAGGAAAAGGAACCCGTTACTGACAGCGAAAAGCAAAAGAATCTGCTTTGGTCTACTCTGGTCTGAGCGATTCTAGATGAAGAGGGGTGGGCCTACAGAGGGAGCTGTTGAAATTATCCCAATGTGTGCTTCGGTTTTTCCCCAGAACTAGGGGGAGATGTAAACTTTCCTTAAGCCCAGTGGTTGAAACTCAGACTAAACTTTGCTGAGGTGGTACCCACATGGTGTGAGCATGTGCTGGGGAGAGAAAGGAAGAGAGAGGAAGAGAGCCTGCGTTTGCCTATTGCTGACAGGGAAGGTGAGCCGGAGAGAAACTTCATATGGGCTATTCGTTTTCACTGGAGGAATACACGAGGCCTTGAGAATAAACTCTGCGCCTACAGAAGATGCAGCCGTGAATCTTTCATTTGCCACACAACCTGATCAGAAATGTCCAGGTTTGGGACAAGGCTGCAAAACAAAGAAAACAAAATTCCCCTCAAAGAAAAGTTCATAAAGGTCATCTGAGGGAATTAACTGAAATATAAAACAACCCAAAAGGAGTGGAACTCAAAGAAAGTGAAGGGTGAGTCTCTAATCACCTCCCAGAGTGTCTCAGCCTTGCCTCGCTGGGCCTGGTGTAGGACCCAGAAATTCTCATCTCGTTGGTCTCAGCTGGGTGAATGTTTGGTTAAGAATAGAGTGGCAGATGCCACATTTTCTAACTATGGCAAGAAAATATTATAGAAGCCAGGAGTGAGTTTTGTTTTGTTTTTTTAAAAATATTTTTATTGATTTCAGAGAGGAAGGGGTGTGGGAAGACAGAGAGAGAGAGAGAGAGAGAAAGAGAGAGAGAGAGAGAGAGAGAAGCATCAATAATGAGAGAGAATCAGTGATTAGCTGCCTCCTGCACACCCTACACTGGGGATTGAGCCCACAATCCGGGCATATGCCGTGACCAGGAATCGAACTGTGATCTCCTGGTTTACGAGTCAATGCTCAACCACTGAGCCACGCCAGCCAGGCGGGAGTGAGTTTTTTTAAGATGATACCCACTTCACAATTGAGGATGAATACAGCAAGTCCTGTTTTCTTTCTGCTGCTTGAGGAGCTATGTGCTTTTGGGAAAATTACTGACCCTTTCTGAACCTGTTCCCTTCACTATAGAGATACAGTTTCTGCTTATAGGTTTGTTATGAAAATTAAGTGAGAAAACACAAGTTGCCATGTCCTAGGACTCTACGTTTAATTAGCCTTCACTCTTTTCCCCCCCCCCTCCCAAATGATATCAACTACTGAAATATCTTCAGGATGATCTCACCCAGACTGATATTTACAGGATTTATGTTTGTAAAGCCTTTGTTTTATGGGCAAACATTCACCCTGCTGTTACCTCTTTGAACGTAAGGAATGGTTCCATCCACAAAGGGAGGAAAGGAAGGCCAGAGGAAAACGCTGATCTGATCACAAGCGGCGGGAACAGACCTTAGAAGGCACGCTCCTGCCATTTTTTACTGGAGGAGACGCGCGGCAGTGATTAATTTTCTTGCTTTTAAAAAATTCGGAAGCCACGAAGCTGTAATTAGAGATGTAATTAACAACTCCCGCTAGTTAGCGCGTGGCCGCGGGTGCTGTTGGTCTGGATAAAAAAAGGGTTTGATCCCATAAGCTCCCTAGCTTCCCAGACTGAAATGAATGCTGGGTGGGTTTCACCATGAAAGAAAACGATCCTGGCCTGGAGGGGGGCTTGCGATCACAATTACTTTTAACTAACGGCGACAGAAGAAGTGACAAGTGTGCGCTGCGGAACAGAGATGGCCCCGGCCAGACGGGGAAAGAGAAAAGGAAAAAAGCCCAGCGGCGCAATATCGCTGCGCTGTGGGTTGACATAAGACAATCAGAAACAAAGTTAGCCTCCCACCCAGAGAGAGAGAGAGAGAGAGAGAGAGAGAGAGAGAGAGAGAGAGGAGAGAGGTTGCACCAGTAAATTTTTATGTGAGAGAAACAAAAATGGGAGGAATTGTGGCGGAACCCTATTATAATCCTAGTCGGGGGGGACCAAGGATAACACGGACGCTTGGGGTTTTGTGTGACAGTAAAAGATGCTCCCTGTCACTTTAATCCACAATGGAGCCGGGCCCAGGGGCAGGGGAGGGGGAGGTGCGGGGGGTGGGGGGGGCTTCTTCCCAGAGCCCCGCTGAACCTCCCCTTCGCAGGAGGCTTTGTTCCGAGGCTTGTTAAAAGTTGGAGCCCGGGGCCCGGGGGAGGCGGGAAATATTTAGGGCAGTGAGGGAGCAACTAATAGGTTTCCCCATAGACAGGAACAGGAATTGGATGTACAAGGAGAAAGCGGGCTTTGGTGGTCAGGGCGATGAATGGCTGGCCTTGCGACAAAATGATGACACTGCGGGGGATGAAGGGGGTGTAGGTCAAAGGGTACATGTTCGGTGGTACATTCTGAGGATTGAATGTAAGCGTGGGGACTACCGGTGAATAATAAAGTATTGTGTGCTCGAAAGGTGCGGAGGGTAGAGTGTGGGCATTCTCACCGCACAGCCAAAAATGTTAACTCTGTGCCGTCATGTGTTCATGATCTCGATCTCAGTCCTCATTCCACAATGGATACAATCGTACCCTCTACCTAGGAGCGGTGTTTGCCAATTATTCCTCCATCAAGCTACAGAGTGCTATAAATATGGCTCTAGCTAAGCTCAGAAATGAAAAAAAATAATAATAATGACAAAGAAATGAATAAAAAATGACACTGATTTACTGATTTACTGATTTAGGATTTGTTTTGATGCAGGCTTTGGCCGGCATGGAATTCACCTTTGCTTTAGAAAGAGCAGTTCATGAAATAGAGGAGAAAAAGGAAGAGCCCACAGTGAACACTCAATTGCTCTTTCCAGCCGCTGGACGGCACGTGGTCCAGCCACGTCCTGTAGACCCTGCAAAGCCCTAACAGCTCACGCCTGCCCCACGACAGGATGTGCCCTTTAATATTTAGCATCTGCCTCTGGGAACACGTTCTTCATTAACCTTTGTGGGAGATCAGAATGACACTTTTTTCTCTCTCCTC